TGTTTATCACATAGCAGTGATTTATTTTATCATTTGATTTGAAAACAGTTAATGTAACCCCCCCAAAAAAATTGATTGGCTAGAAAAATCTCTGAAAAAAAAAAAAAAAAAAACAGAAACGGAGATCACTTTGACATGTTTGCTTGAAGAGCAATTACTGGCCCAAACCACGGAAGTAAACTGGTAATGGAATCTATTTTTCTATGCAAATTTTAGTAATTCAAAATAATTTTTCTTTTTTTTTTATTTTTTATTTTTTATTTTTTTTTTTTGACAGGCAGAGTGGACAGTGAGAGAGAGAGGCCGAGAGAAAGGTCTTCCTTTTCCGTTGGTTCCCCCTTCCAATGGCAGCCGCGGGTTGTTGCGCTGGCGGCCCAGCGCACCCGGCGCTGATCCGATGGCAGGAGCCAGGAGCCAGGTGCTTTTCCTGGTCTCCCATGGGGTGCAGGGCCCAAGCACCTGGGCCATCCTCCACCGCACTCCCTGGCTACAGCAGAGAGCTGGCCTGGAAGAGGGGCAACCGGGACAGAATCCGGTGCCCCAACCGGGACTAGAACCCGGTGTGCCGGCGCCGCTAGGCGGAGGATTAGCCTAGTGAGCCGCGGCGCCGGCCCAAAATAATTTTTCTTATCAGAATGAATAAAGTATTAATCAGAACACTGATTTGAAAGGATGGTAGCATTTTAACCTGTTCAGTGTACCAATGCAATCCAATCCTGTTCAATGAACACTCAAAACTGGTAAGTTTTAATAGCTGTTGGTTATGAGGTAACACCATCAGCCATTCATTTTTTCCATCGATAATACCACGGTAAATGTAGAGATAAAATAAGAAAGAAACAAGGAGTGTGTCAACACCTTAAGATAAAGAAATTTGTGAATATCAGATCTAGTCAAGTGGTAAGTAAAAATATAAATCTAACTAGAGTATGTTTAAGTGCCAAGACCTCAAGAGCCAAGTTGAATAGCATGAGATAAAGAATCAACAACTGGCATAGATTGTCAAGGCAACAGGAATTGGGGAAAGAATGGAATTCATAGCCTAAGAAAGTAGTCCTTGTCATACATTGACTTGTTTGGAAAATCTTATATGGAACTGAGACATTTAATTTAGGTATCATAACAACCCAATATCTGGCCACAACTTTTCCTATAAATTTATTAATGTAAATTCCAAGGTATGGAGGAACTTTGGGAGACTAAACTGAAGTTTTAACTGAGAACAGACTTTGTATATGTGTGCGTATGTACAATATATGAGTAAATATTGAATATATGGGGCCGGTGCTGTGGAGTGGCGGGCAAAGCCGCTGGCTGCAATGCTGGCATCCCATATAGGTGCCAGTTCAAGACTCTGCTGCTCCATTTCCAATCCAGCTCTCTGCTACAGCCTGGGAAAGCAATGGAGAATGGGCCAAGTGCTTGGGTCCCTGCACCTGTATGGGAGACCTGGAAGAAGCTCCTGGCTCCTAGCTTTGGATTGGTGCAGTTCCGGCTGTTGTGGCCAATTGGGGAGTGAACCAGAGGATGGAAGACACCTCTCTCCCTCCCTCCCTCCCTCTCTCTGCCTCTCCTTCTCTTTTTGTGTAACTATGACTTTCAAATAAATAAATCAATCTTCAAAAAAATATATCGAATGTATACCAAAACAGATCACTACAACTACCGGTACAGAAACAAGATCTATATAATCTACCAATAAGAATGTATGTGTATGCTTTGGAAGAATTTCTCAATGACACCATAAATAAGAGTGTCAATTGTTAAATCAACAACAGGAGTCACTGTGCATCTACTCCCCATGTAGGATCTCTGTCCTTAATGTGTTGTACTATGTGAATTAGCGGTATAACTAATACTCAAACAGTACTTTACACTTTGTGTTTCTGTGTGGGTGCAAACTGTTGAAAACCTTACTTAGTATATACTAAATTGATCTTCTGTATATAAAGATAATTAAAAATGAATTTTGATGTGAATGGGATGGGAGAGGGAGCGGGAGATGGGATGGTTGCGGGTGGGAGGGAGGTTATGGGGAGAAAAAGCTGCTATAATCCAAAAGCTGTACTTTGGAAATTTATATTTATTAAATAAAAGTTAAAAAAAGAAAAAAAATACAAAGAGTGGGAATAAGAGAGGTAAGAGATGTGCAATTCGGGACATGCTCAAGCTTGACTTACCTCAAACGGTAGAGTTAGAAACATACCAGGGGATTCCAATTCAATCCCATCAAGGTGGCATGTGCCAATGCCATCTCATTAGTCCCAGTGATCAATTTCTGTTCACAATTGATCATAATGATAGGACTAAGTGTCAAAGGGATTACATAAACAAGACTAGTATCTGCTAATACTAACTGATAGAATTAAAAAGGAGAGAATGATCCAACATGGGAAGCAGGATATACAGCAGACTCATAGAATGGCAGATATCCTAAACAGCACTCTGGCCTCAGAATCAGCCCTTAAGGCATTCAGATCTGGCTAAAAAGCCCATGAGAGTATTTCAGGCATGGAAAGCCAAGACACTCTGGAAAAAAAAATAATGACTTAAATGAAAGATCTCTGTGAGTGAGATCCCAGCGGAAAGAGCAGGCCATCAAAGAAGGAGGTACCTTTCTCTGAAGGGAGGAGAGAACTTCCACTTTGACCATGGCCTTGTCTAAATATGATCATAGTCGGTGAACTCAGGGGGCTTCCATAGCCTTGGCAGCTCATGACAAGAGCCTTGGGTGATTACTGATGCCATAAACAAGAGTGTCAATTTGTTAAGTCAACAACAGGAGTCACTGTGCACTCACTCCTCATGTAGGATCTTTGTCCTTAGTGTGCTATACATTGAGATTTAATGCTATAACTAGTACTCAAACAGTATTTTTCACTTTATGTTTCTGTGTGGGAGCAAACTGTTGAAATCTTTACTTAATGTATGCTAAACTGATCTTCTGTATATAAAGAGAATCGAAAATGAATCTTGATGTGAATGGAAGGGGAGAGGGATTGGGAAAGGGGAGGGTTGTGGGTGGGAGGGACGTTATGGGGGGGAAGCCATTGTAATCCATAAGCTGTACTTTGGAAATTTATATTCATTAAATAAAAGTTTAAAAAAAATAGAAATAGTATAACTTCATTAAAATGTAAGCCGATTGATTTTCTGTGTGTCTCTAACAGCTCAAAATCACTCACAAGAACCTGCAGTAGAGCTGCTTAAGGTGGAATGGGCTTCCCTCTATTCCTTTCTTGCCTCCAACTGTCTCTTCATCTTTTAGGAAGAAATTACTAAGAATACTAAGAATCCTTGGCTGCCATTAGGCAAAGTGGTTTAAGACACTCAGACAACTCAGGAATAAAGCAATTACCATGCTGAGCTAGGATTTAGACAAACAATCAAGTTGTTCACCACCAAGTTGTTTAAAGCTGATGCACCTACTGAATGACTGGTACCCCTGCTTTGCTTGGCTATTCAATATTTAAATGTAACTCCTGGAATCTATTCAAATCAAAGTGAGCATGAGTACAAGGGGGTCAGGAAATATTTTCTGTGCTAACACAGGAACAAGGTAGAGGAAGGCATAACAAAGAAACAAAAAAATACAGAAATATTATCCCTTTCCTCTTTTTCAAATATCAGAGAAAGTCTCAGAATACATTGATTTTTTTCACTGACTCTTTGAATCCCCATCTAACAAATAGAAGCAAATATTCTCATATTTTTATTTTTACCATGACCTTCAAGTATTAGTTTATGACTAAAATAAGCATGAATCATTCATCTGTAATATGAGCCATAAGGCCAAATATCTTTTTCCACAGATCTATTCCCCTTAAAATCTGCATTTTAAATGGTGTAAAAAGTAGAAGAGGTGAGCTAGATCAATTTAATATTGTGTAGGATTTTTAAAATTCAGCATATTAACACAATATATTGTCTCTGTGGAGTTTCATTTCACATGATAAAAGAAACAAGAAGCATCTGATCAATAAACAGAAAATCAAGTTACTGTTCCCGCTAGGTTGCTCTAACAAGGATTAATTTCAGAAATGTTGGTGCATGCCTAATGCTGTGGCTTTTAATCCTCTCACTCCAGTGGGTCTAAAACACTTGCTATTAGCAGTAATGTGGAAAGAATTAATACTTTACATATGGCTATCCACTCTACTCAGATGAAGGGGTTAATGGTAAAATAAGCCTTTAAAGATGTAAATGATTCCTCCCATGTGGCTAGAAAATAGCTCAAGTGTTTTTCATTTAAAATTATTAACATATAGAAACATTATTATCTCTGCAGTTAATATGCACCTCACTGAAAATCTCATGGTTTATAATAATTAAGGAAGGTAGCATCTTAATGAAATTATAAGACATATATCATTTATTAAGTGGCAGATTATATCTTTAATTTTGGCACTAATATATCTTTAATTTTTGCTATTATGATTATATGCAAAATGTCTTCCAAAACCCCAGGACAATTGTGTGGCAATTGGCTTGTCTCTTTCACCATTGCCCTATATACTGTCCCAAGTGTTGAGCCAGACTGAGAATTTAACTCACAGTTCCTCTCCAGGAGCATGCACTGTTCTGAAATACAGAGACAATCAAGGCCAAGGCAGTACTACATAACTATTTTTCTAAGAACCATGGATATACTTCTGACATTTTCTTATTGATCACTGTAGTATACTGAGTAATCTGCAGTGAATTATATGAATTTGATTTTCATTCCTAGCTTAAAATGTGAAAGAGTAGAATAAAAATGGTGAAACTCAACTAGGTAGACATATTTTCTCCCTTCTCTCTTTTCACTCTGTCCCCTTCTTTCTTTTTCTTCCTTGATTCCTCTTTTCAATAAATATTTATTTTTAAAGATTTATTTATTTTCTTTTTTTAAATCTTATATTTAATGAATGCATTTTAATAGGTAAAACTTTAGGAATACATTGTTTCTTTTCCCCATACCACCCTCCCACCCCAAACTCCTATCCTACCTCCTACTCCCTCACCCATCCCCTTCATTATGGTTCATTTTTGTTTAATTTTATATACAGAAGACCAACTCTATGTTAAGTATAGATTTTAACAGTTTGCATACACACACACACACACACACAACAAATAAATACAGTTTGAGAAAAAGTTTTGCAGTTAATTCTCATAGTACAACTCATTAAGGGCAGAGGTCATATGTGGGGAGTAAGTACACAGTGACTTCTGTTGTTCCTTTAACAATTAACACTCTTATTTATGACGTCAGTGATTACCCAAGGCCCTTGCCAAAGGGCTTCCAAGGTTATGGGAGCCTTTTGTGACCCCAGACCCCATCAGTATTTGGACATGGCCATAAGCAAAGTGCAAGTTCTCTCCTCCTTTCTATGATCCATTTTTTATTCAGAAACATCTTGTTCATTCTCCATGTGATTGCATATGATGTAGAGATTCTTGAGTTGCTGATTTCCAGCTTCACTGCATTGTGGTCTAAGAAGATACATGGTATGATTCCAATTCTTTTGAATTTGCTGAGACTCCCTTTACGGTCTAGCTTATAGACAATCCTAAAGAAAGTTCCATGCACTGGGGAGAAAAATGTTATGCTTTTGCTGTGGAGCAGAAGGCCTTGTAGATATCTGCTAGGCCTATCTGGTCTATCGTGTCAATTAACTCTGTTGTTTCCATGTTGATTTTCTGTCTTGCTGATCTGTCCATTGCTGAAAGTAGGGTATTGAAGTCCCCTGTTCCTATTGTATTTGAGTTTATATCTCCCTTTAAATCCCTTAGTAATTCTTTAAATAGCCAGGTACTCTGTAATTAGGTACATATATATTTATAATAGTCACATCTTCCTGTTGAATTGATCCTTTAATCATTATTTAGTGTCTTTCTTTATCTCCTTTAATAGTGTGAGTCTATTTTGTCTGATATTAGGATGGCCATATTTTTTGGTTTCTGTTAGCATGGAATATCTTTTTCCATCCTTTCACGTTCAGTCTGTGTGAGTCTTTGTTGGAAAGATGTGTTTCTTGTAGGTAGCAGATAGATGGGTTTTCTTTTTTAGTATCAGCCATTCTGTGTCTTTTAACTGGGGAGTTGAGACCATTTGCATTCAGTGTGACTATTGTTAAATACGGTCTTTTCCCTGCCATGTTTCCTTAAATAGACCTGTTTATGTATTTTGAATTTCATTTGTACTTTTGCTGGCTCATTTTCTACGTTCATCTTCTTTTGTAGTTAATTCCTCTTTCTGTGTTTCTGTGTGTAGCATATCCTTGATCCAGTATTGTAGGGCTGGGTGTGAAGACACAAATTCTTTCTGTTTGTCGTAGAAAATCCTTATTTTTCCTTCATTCATAAATGAGAGTTTTGCAGGGTACAGTTTTCAGGGTTGACAGTTTTTTTCTCTTATGACTTGGAATACATCTTGCCACTGTCTCTCTGACTTCTTTGTGTTTCACTGAGTTGATTGTTGCCACAATGTGGTATGGTGAATTCCTTTTCTGGTCATGTCTATTGGGAGTTCTGTGTATTCCTTATACTTGGATGCTTCTCTCAATCTGCCTATTGTGGAAGTTTTCTGAAATAATTTCATTAAGAAGACCTTCTAATCCATTCTCTCTTTCCACACCTTCCAGAACTCTTATGATCCATACATTGGATCGCTTGATAGAATCTTGTAAATCTCCAACCATGATTTTTTTTAATTTTCTAATTTCTTCTTCTTGTGTTTGGTCTATTATTTCTGGGAGTTTATCTTCTGGTTCTAATATTCATTCTTCTATTTCACCTGTTCTATTTCTTTTTTCTCTTTTCTTTTTTTTTAAAGATTTATTTTATTTATTTGAAAGAGTTATAGAGTGAGGTAGAGCCAGAGAGAGAGGTCTTCCATCTGCTGGTTCACTCTCCAAATGACTGCAATGGCCAGAGCTGAGCTGATCCAAAATCAAGAGACAGGAGCTTCTTCCGGGTCTCCAACTCGGGTGCAGGGGCCCAAGGAGTTGGGCCATCTTCTACTGCTTTCCCAGGCGATAGCAGAGAGCTGGATTGGAAGTGAAACAGCCAGGACTCGAACTGGCACCCATATGGGATGCTGGTGCTACAGGCCACAGCTTTAACCCACTGTACCACAGTGCTGGCCCCATCTGTTCAAAGAGATCCCACTGTATTTTCAATCTGTTCATTTGAACTTTTTATTTACAGTATTTCATTTTGGCTTCTCTTTAAAAATCTCAATTTCTTGGGAGTGCTTTTCATTTCCAATCTTGAATCTGTTCCTAATTGCTATTAAGTAATCTGATTATTAATTTTTTGAATTCCCTTTCTGGTATATTCTCAATTGTTTCTTCTTCAGACTCCATTATTGAAGATTTAGATTGCTCCATTGGCAAGTTCATAAATTCTTCCTTATCCTGATTCAGGATTTTTCCTTTGTTCTTCAGCATTTCTGTTGGGTTTCTGGTTGGTTTTATTTTCAAATTATTTCCCTATGCTACGAGCTACTGTGTGTCTGTGCCTGTTGCAAGTGGAAGCACAAAGCTCCACCTCCTGGAGCTTTGTTTTTTTTCTGGGTCCTGATGGAGGTGGGTACCAGGGCTTTGGTGCACTAAGCCCCGCCTACTGGGGGCTGGGCTCCCTGCTCACTTGTTCCTTAGTATTACTCGTTGTTGTACAACTTATGTGGTGGTGGGGAAATCACTCTGAATTGTTATGATCCTTGGGGCATGTTGTGAGGTGGCCCCTGCAATTGATGGGTTTGTGCACGGGAGACAACATGGGCAGCCTGCTGCCTATACTCGAAAATGTAAGCAATCGATATGGCTTCTCCCTTTCAGCTGTAGCTCTGGCTGGGGGAAGGGGGAAGACACTGATGGATCGTGGTGTGTCCAACCTCTCCACACATCCCCAAGAATTTCTCCTTTTTCCCACTTAGAGCTCTAAGCACTGCTCACCAAATTTCAAAATAACTGACTCTAATACCTGGTCTCCCAGTGTCTATTTAAACTTGTTTATTTAATATATATTTACCAGGAGCTGGGCATTTAGCCTAGCAGTTTAGACACTCAGGTCTCACATGAGTGTGATGCTTCAACTCCTAGCTCTGGCTCAGTACTCTAATTTCCTGATATTGCAGACTCGGAGGCAGCAGTGATGGTTCCCACACTCACATGGGAGATCTGTTCTGTTCTGAGTTTCAGGCTCCTGGTTTTGGCCCCAGTCCATTTGTAGCCATTGTGGACATTTTGGGAGTGAACAAGTAGACTGGGATTTCTGTCTCTCTTTTTCTCTGTCTCAAATATAATAAATAAAAGTTAAAATAAATAATTTATAGATTAAAGTTACAACGGGAAAGAGTGAAAGTATGAATATAACATAAGTAATAAAATTAATTAAAATACATATTATATATTATTTATTTATTTTTATTTATTTGAAAAGCAGAGTTAGAGAGATAAAGAAAAACATCTTCCATTCACTGGTTCACTCCCCAAATGGCTGCAACAGACTGGGCTGGGCCAGGACAAAGCCAGGAGCCAGAAGCTCCTTCCAGGTCTCCAACATGAGTAGGAGGGGCCCAAGTACTTGCACCGCCTTCTACTGCTTTCCCATGCACATCAATAGAGAGCTGGATCAAAAATGGAACGGCTGGGATTTGAACCAGTGCCCATATGGGATGCAGGTATTGCAGGTAGTGGCTACATCTGCTATGCCAAAGATTTGGTCCTTAAAATTTTATATATTTTGGCTGACGCCATGGCTCACTTGGCTAATCCTCTGCCTGCGGCGCCAGCACCCTGGGTTCTAATTCCAGTTGGGGTGCCGGGTACCAGTCCCGGTTGCTCCTCTTCCAGTCCAGCTCTCTGCTGTGGCCCGGGATGGCAGAGGAGGATGGCCCAAGTGCTTGGGTCCCTGCACCCACATGGGAGACTGGGAGGAAGTACCCGGCTCCTGGCTTCAGATTGGCACAGTGCCAGCCATAGCAGCCATTAGGGGAGTGAAGTAACACAAGGAAGACCTTTCTCTCTGTCTCTCTCTCACTGTCTATAACTCTCTGTCTCTCTCTCTAACTCCGCCTGACAAAAAATTTTTAAAAATTATATATTTTTATGCACAAAGAATATATGATCGGAATGTGTTAAGTAACAGTAGGTTTCATTACATATCAATAAACACCAATATTCAGTGAAGGTATAAGAAAAGGAATCTAGATTCCTTTAACATGCAGAGGAATGTTATCACTGAGTCAGGAGCTATAGCTACCATAAAAGCAGCAGTTATACCATAGGATTTTCTGTTGTGCATGCATACCATACTAAAATTATCTTAATTTTCCTTACTAGATCACCCTTTTATCTATCAGGCTCATGAAGAGTCAAGAAGAGGGCAAAATCTTAGTTGTAATCTTAACAGTATTTCTCAAGGTGTTCATATTCAAAAAATGGACAAATGTTACTCATGTTACAGAAAAACAGATACTTAAAACTAGAATGCTTTTAAATGAGCTAAATCTTTAAATTTACTTAAGTCAAAAATAAGTTTTAGGGCCAGTGCTGTGGGTTAAAGCCCTGGCCTGAAGCGCCCGCATCCCATATGGACGCCAGTTCTAGTCCTGGCTGCTCCTCTTCTGATCCAGCTCTCTGCCTGGGATAACAGTAGAAGATGGTCCAACTCCTCGGGCCCCTGCACCCACATGGGAGACCAGAAAGAAGCTCCTGGCTCCTAACTGGCATAACTCCAGCCGTCGTGGCCATCTGGGGAGTGAACCAGCAGATGGAAGACCTCTCTCTCTCTGTCTCTGCCTTTCTCTGTAACTATTTCAAATAAATAAAATAAATCTTTAAAAAAATATGTTTTGGAGGTCAGAGTTGTGGCACTGATGGTTAAGACACTGTTTACAATGCTGAAATTCCTCATTGCAGTGCTGGATCAAGTCCCAGCTGCTCCATTTCCAATCCAGCTCCTTGCTGCTGAGCTTGGAGAAAACAGCACAAGATGATCCAAGTCTCTGGGACCAAACCACCCATGTGAGACTCAGACAGGGCTCCTGTCTCCTGGTTTTGGCCTAGCCCAACTCTAGCTGTTGTATCTTGTGGGGAAGTGAACCAGTAGATGGAAGATCTCTTTGTCTGTCTGTCTGTCTGTCTCTCTCTCTCTGTCAATCTACCCTTCAAATAAATAAGTAAATATTTAAAAAGTAAGTTTTATAAGAGGGTGTATCAAACAAGATTGTCAGAAGAAACTAATATCATACTTAAATTAGTGTACGTGAGACTATTTTATTTACAAAAGGAATAATTACAAAGCTATAGGTAGAATGTCAAGGAACTAGGAGAGAAAGAGACCTGGAGCTAGAAGAATCAATCTAGCACGGATATTTCTGTTGGACAACCTAAATATTTTCACTAGGTGTTTTTGGTAGATTACAGGGCATCTTAAGAGAGTGTATAGCATGTGACTTTACAAGACAGTGTGGTGGTTTCCCCATACATGACAGGATAAACAAAACATAGATACTTCCTGTAACATCAGAGAAAACTAGAGATGAAAAGCACTTCTAGGGTAATAGTCCCTAGGAGGGGTCTAACTTGTCTAAAAATACACAGCTAGTTACTAACAGAGCTGAGGCCAGAAGCTTGTGATGTAATTCTCAGTCCCATGTCATTTTCTTTTTTATTTTTATTTTTTTAAAATTTTTTTGACAGGCAAAGTGGACAGTGGACAGTGAGAGAGAGAGACAGAGTGAAAGGTCTTCCTTTGCCGTTGGTTCACCCTCCAATGGCTGCCACAGCCAGCGCACCGCGCTGATCCGAAGGCAAGAGCCAGGTGCTTATCCTGGTCTCCCATGCAGGTGCAGGGCCCAAGGACTTGGGCCATCCTCTACTGCACTCCCTGGCCACAGCAGAGAGCTGGCCTGGAAGAGGGGCAACCGGGACAGAATCCGGCGCCCCGACCGGGACTAGAATCTGGTGTGCCAGTGCCGCAAGGTGGAAGATTAGCCTAGTGAGCCGCGGTGCTGGCCCCTATGTCATTTTCATTAACAGTTGAAGCATCACGATCACTCAGTCAAAAATAAATTTAAAAAATCAAGTGTATATCCTTCCCCATTCACCAAAATTCATAATTGCCAAGATGTTTTTAAACAATGTAAATATACAGAATGTCTTAGGGTTACAAATTTAAAACTTTGCATATCATCAAATCTCACTGACTGGTTTTCATATTGAAGAAATGTAGGCTCATATTGAAAAAAATGTAGGCCTACAAAAATTTTACACTCTTGCCTACTAAAATCTAGTTAACAACAAAGCTAAAACTTAGAGATATACTTCAAAAATCAATATTCTTTCCACTACCAGAGCTGCTTCTCATTTTTTCTCATGTTTTCTCCAAGTTGCAGACTTTAAAAAATCTAAGGCAATATCTATTTTCATGTACAAACTAGTTAAGAAAGTCATATCTGCAATACTATTTGAATATTGCTGCTAACCAGGATTCAAGTAAACACACATTTAAAGATCTGTGTAACACTGCTCTGATGGATTAAAAAAAAGAATTGATTCTCATTTAATAAACAAGGCAAATAGGTCCTTGTATCCAAGTGACCAACGACTTCCTGAATATTTTCCAACTAGTTGATCTAATAATGCATCAAATTCATGATGTCCATAATCTGATCCTTCATCTTCCTATCCAAATGTACTCTTGTTCCTATATTCCTTTTTTGTGAATAGTAATATTGCCATTCATTCAAAATATATTTACAGAGGTGAGCTCTCAGCCTAGCAACTAAGACACTGGTTAACATACCCAGGAGTCACATTGGAGTATTTGGGTTTAATTCCTAACTGCAGGTCCTGGTTTCAAATTCTTGCTAGTGAAGACCCTGGTAGATGGCAGCAAACATTCATGCAATTGGGTTCCTACCACACACATGGGAGACCTGGATTGAATTCCTGGCTTCTGATTTTGAACTGGCCCAGTGCTGGTTAACAGGCATCAGTGGATAGGAGCTCTCGCTGTACCCCTCCCTGTCCTTCTTTTTCTCTTTCCTTCTCTGTGTGCATCTACCTACCAAATAGATAAATATTCTTAAGTATTTAAAAATATATCCTTAAAGAGAATCTACTCTATAGACACTGTGCTAGGTACTGGGAATCAATGCTGATCAATGGTGATGAGATTCTTACCTTCCCATGAAACACAAAAAAAAGAAAGAAAAGAAAGAAAAATAAATGGTACAGTATAGCCTCTATCAACTATCCAGACTTCCAAGTAGAAACTAGGAAGCACCTACACATCTCTCTTTCCATCACACATCATTTCTACAAATCACCAAATCATACTCTTGTCACTTAATAAGCTTTCAAATTCACCTACTCAATCTCACTACTGTAGGTCAGGCACTTATCTTTTCTATCCTGGCTGACAAAAAAAATAACTTCCCAAACTAATCTTCCTGTTTGTAACCTTTCTTTGTGGTGATCATTCCCCACCAGGCTGGCTGAGAAATTTTTCTAAAATGTAAAATTTGCCGTATCACCCATTAGAGTCTCCCCAGTGTTAGCTTCTTAGCACAGAATATAAGGACTTCATTATTTGAAGTCTAATTTCACTTATCCCATCCCTTTAACAATTATGCTTCATATACCACAGAACAATCTGAATTCCCTTTTACAGTGCCCTGAACACAGTATTCCCTCTCATTCTCCTGCATTATGATATCCTCCAACTGGAAAGCTTGCCCCTCCCTCTTTTGCCTGGCTACACCTTGTGGTTAAGATGCAAATGATAAGTCTACTCCTTTAAGTAGACTGACAGACCAGTATCACATCCCACCCCCTGCCCCATCCCAACAACAAATCCCTACTCTGTGCTCCTCCTTGTGGGGAGCAACTCAGACTAGACTAAGTTACTGGAATTAAGACTTATTCTATGCATCTGCTCTCCCACAATATGGCGCTGGGAGAGGAGTAAACAGCTTCTACACAGCTGCCTTTCACCAACTTGACAAGCTGCAGGAGCTGCTCCTGATTGGAGGAGAGCAGCGTACTCGGCGTGTGGGTAGCAGAGTTGGGATTGGTGGGGGAGGACTATGGAGGAGGAGAGAGACAACATGCACCAGGAACATCTAAGGGGAACATCTGAGCAGCCCCCGAGAGAGCCGGCCGGCAGTGTGCCGCTCCCCTGCGGAAGTGGGGAAAGTGGCAGGGGGCCCGCCCCTCCACGGAGGTGGAGGGACGGTAGCCAACCCAGGAAGAACCAGCAGCAAACCCGGGGAGGGCCAAGCAGACAAAAGAACAGCGCAGGGTCCTGTGTCGTTCCTCCACGAAGAGGGGGAGCGACACTCCTCTTTATTGTCTTTATTCTCAGAATTTGAGTCCATTCTGTTGGTCTTTACAATGTACTCTAACTAAAAAGCTTTTTTATGTATTTCATTATTTATTTATTTATTTTGGTCTATGAACTCTTTAAAGACAGGTCCAGGTCACTGCTCTGTTCTTTCACATATTCTTTTGGCTTAGTACATAGTAGGTGTTCAGTCAACATTCGCCAAGGAGCCGGCGCTGTGGCTCACTTGGTTAATCCTCTGCCTGCGGCACTGGCATCCCATATGGGCACTGGGTTCTAGTCCCGGTTGTTCCTCTAGTCCCCCACTGTCCCGGTGGGGCAGTGGAGGATGGCCCAAGTGCTTGGGCCCCTGCACCTGCGTGGGAGACCAGGAAGAAGCACCTGGCTCCTGGTTTCGGACAGACGCAGTTCTGGCCGTGGCGGCCATTTGGGGAGTGAACCAATGGAAGGAAGACCTTTCTCTCTGTCTCTGTCTCTGTCTGTCTGTCTCTCTCTCTCTGTAACTCTACCTATCAAATAAATAAAAAAATTCACCAAATGAACAAGTGGCAAATTCAGTTTTATTTGTTAATTTTTTTCATTTACTCACCCACTTTCCTCAGCATCACGAAAGGAAGCCTTTGTACATATGGCATGAATCATCCTTTTTTAATTTTAATATCCAAGGATCCAAATGTAATATTAGGATAATGAGATTGAAAATTATTCTAAGTCAAGGAGAAAATTCTTATTCAGAATATTATCTTTTTGAGACAGATAGGATTACAAGCAAAGACCAGAGGGACAATATAGAGATGCTGGATAGTTACTTATTGTTCATTTAATTATTCATACAAACTCCTTGAATAATATTAAAACTGAGATTTCTAAGCATGTTGATATTACAAATCTAAGAATCACAAATATTAATAACCATTTCTACTCACATATCAGCTCGAATTACTCAAGTGTTTAGATAATTGTGACTATACAAAAAATAGAGAACTGAGTCATACAAGAAAAGAAAGTATGTGTCCTTGGTGAATGAATGGTACAGTGCTAACAGCAATTTTTCAATTTTATAGACAAAAATAAAAACCTGGACAATGAATATCTCACTATTGCATTAAAATTTGTAAGTTTATTAAACCAGACACTTGTTTCATAATTATGGCTATGAAATCTTCCTTCCTTCCTTAATTTGTAAATGATTCAAGGACCTATGTTCTTGGCTACACCACACATATGTAGATGGGACTTAAGTCTGAGGAAAAAAACACAATGCACAAGTCTACCACTCCCAAACTCTCTACACCAACTCTCTACTCTCTACTTACTTGCCACAGAACTCAATTTTGAAAACTACTGTACAGACCATGAAACTAATCCATGGCAAAAAGAAATCCACTGACTATGGGTTACTACCTTCAGGCACATATTGTTATGAGGATTACAGAACAATAAGGAGTGGTGGTAGCGTCGGACCAATCAGCCTGCTCTTTTGTAAATGTAAGTCAGGATTTTAAAAAATGATTTAGCATTAAATACAGTTTACACTGGAGACCTTCGTTTCTGCTCATATGTAGGCCATTCAAGAAATACCACGGTTGAGTATGAGGCCAAACAGGATAAAAGCATCTCCTCTGTCTTGGGGAGAGCTACAGAACAGATTCAAGAAGAATCTGTGTCAGGGTCAGGCCTGCTGTCTGGCACTAGTTTGGGAGCGTGTACCTGACAAACAATGTGGTAAATCCTCACTTCCTTCAACACGGCTTATAAATCTGCAGAACACGCACAGGAAGGAGCTTATGAGAAACCCAGACCCCACCCTAGACCAGGCAGTCAGATGGGAATCACAACTCTAGGTGACTCACAAGCACACTCAAGTCTGAGAAGCTTTCATTAAGCCATCAGTTCTCATCCTGAGGTAAGGCAATACTTTTCTAAAAAGAAGACAAAACTCTCAAGCTGCCTACTTTTGTAAAACTTTGTTTGCTACTTATCCCTCCAAAAGACAGGTCATACCAGGGTCAGACCTGCTACAGGTCTGATAACTACTAAGAAACCACATAGGCAAGTACACAGAGAAAGAACTTGATACAGAGTACAATACACAATAGACCTCCTCAAGTGTTGTCACTTGAATGAAATAAAATTATTGTCCTGCCTTGTTTTTTGTGCTCTTTTACCATTAAGGAACTTAAAACATTGCCTTAGTACTACTCTAGATCAGTATTTCTCAAGCTCTTTATGGCAAGGGACCAATATTCCTTAATTCCAATCCATTTTGAAAAATTATCATTGTAAAACAACATAACAAATGGCTAGAAACATGTATTACAAAAGAAAAAAACAAGCACAAAAATATATGCCCTGATATTGGTTTGATTCATTAGACATGAAATTACCTTGTCATGTTTCTATAAAGGTTTCCAAACACACAGTATATGCTTATCTCATGACAGGCCAACATTGACCAAGTTCAGAGTCTGCACCAGTCTATGACTTCACCAGCAGCAGCACTGCTATGGATAACACAGACCCTGAATGCAGGTGACCACACTTCTGAATTAAATGTGAGATTTGCATCCAGGTGGCTGAGGCTTCAAAGCTACCAGTTTTAACCATGGCACCATCACCGACTCATTTGGGGCACTGATCAGCCTGGAGATAAAGTTCGTGGCTCCTAGCCTAAAACAGAGCTTTTGTCAGCTCACTGTATCAAATCACAGGAGGTGCACATAGAAGAAATAGTAATGTGCCAGAAACATCAGAAGATGAAGTTTTGTGTTTCAAATCTGCAGTACTAGCAAGCCATCTCCATGAAGATGTTTTATTATTATTTTTCATTATCTTTATTTATATATGCTCCAGACTGTATGTGGGGATATTACAGCACATCACTGGGTTGTGATCTAGATTTTACAATTTGAGAAAACCTTTATATTTGATTTCACACAGATTAGTAATCTACAAAATCTGATGTTTTATAAAAATGTAATAAATTAATTGGTTTAAAATCAATTAGGTAGTCATAACAAATTTTCTTTTCTTTTAGGATTGCTCAAGATGCCTAATAACATCATTTCTACTTTAAACAATTTGTACTAAATTATACTTAAGCATCTTATCTAAATAAAGCTGACAGCTACTGGTTTATGATCAAAATGGAAATGCTGGTTGGCAAGATAAAATAGAATTCTGTCTGACTCAGTTGTCTAGCATGCACAGAGATAACAAGTTAGCTACTTTCCACAAAATCAGAATTGAGCATATTTTTGTATGTATTTGTTCAAAATGTCATGTGAGGATCCTAAAAGAATAATTTATTTATCTTTCAAATGTATTGCTTATATTCAACTCCGCTTATGGTTTAATCAACACCAGAGAAGCTAGCCAATGTTAATGTTACAAGCAGTGGTTCTCTTCTTATAATATTGACTAGCATCAACAACACAGCAGTTAAGTTTCTCAATAGCTTTTAAAAGTTTTGGTTTCCTTCTTCATTCTTGGTATCTTTTGTGCTTTTTATCATATGTGTGTGTGTGTGTGTGTGTGTGTGTGTAAACTCTCTAATTTCACTTAGTTTCTAGGAAATCTGAAGGTAAGCTTTTCAAATGGATATTTTTGATGTGGCAACATTATTTTCTGGGCTTAAAGCCTTAAAGTATTGCCAGTGGTATTTGTGCCTATACAATTTGACAGCTTTTCTCATGTTGAAAAATAGATTGGGATTGACACTGTGGCACAGTGGGTAAAGCCACCACCTGGAGGGCTGGCATCCCATATGGACGCCAGTTCAAGACCCAGCTGCTCCACTTCTGATCCAGCTCCCTCCTCTGGCCTGGGAAAGCAGTACAAGTTGGCCCAAGTTTTGGGCTCCTGCACCCCTGTGCAAGACCACGAAGAAGCTCCTGGCACCTGGCTCCTGGCTTCAGATCGGCCCAGTTCTGGCTATTGTAGCCATTTGGAGAGTGAACCAGCAGATGGAAGACCTCTCTCTCTGCCTCTCTGTAACTCTGCCTTTCAAATAAATAAATAATTTTTTTAAAAAAAGAAAAATAGATTGAGGGATGTTAAATCAAATTCAAACAGCTGTGATTGCTTTGATTATAAATAATAAATAAATAAATAAAATCTGTAAGAATCATTTGTAACCACTCTTTTCATTTTATTTAATTTAAAATTTGGCAAAATCTCTGAGTATATGTGAATAAAAAATAGGAAGTAATACCCTGGGTCACACTCAGATACAATCACTATTTCATGTGACACATAAAATTCTGCCATTTATTGGTGCTTCCATACCCATTTTGAATGCTCTCAGATTTTTTATTGGCAACATCTTATGGGTTGTTAGGAACTATTTGGCTTCTTAAAATTAGGTAAACTTAGTTGGCCAACACTTATTTCATTTAAACTGCAAGTAGTTTATAATTTCTGACAGTTTTAGGCAGAAATATATTTGCCTTTGACAATTGCATGGCTCATGATTTTATTAATTTTATTTCTCAGTATCCCAACATGGAGAGGTCCCATCTTCTTAGGCTTCCTAAATGCACTTCTGAAATTGTCTAACAATTTTATTTAGGATTTTTTATTCCATTTTCATTATCATTCTTTAATTTTACAAGTCATCAGGGGCTGGCACTGTGGTGCAGTGGGTTAGGCTGCCATCTGTAGTGTAGGCAATCCATATGGGATCCTGCTTGAGTCCCAGCTGCTCTACTTCTGATCCAGCTCCCTACTAATGTGCCTGCGAAAAAAGTGGAAGACAGCTCAAGTGCTTGAGCCCCCATACCCATATGGGAGACCCAAATGAAGATCTTGGCTCCTGGCTGCAGCTTGTCCAGCCCAGGCTGTTGCAGCCATCTGGAGAGTGAACCAGCAGACATAAAATCTCTCTCTCTCCCTCTCCCTCTTTCTATAACTCTGACTTGCAAATAAATAAATAAACATTTTTTAAAAAGAATCTCCTACTTGCATAATGCTTTATACGATAATTATATTTTCATTTTATTTAGAGATGTTTCACAAAATAAAAAAATCTATCTAGTATTTCATTCAAAGTCAGCTATCTAATAATTGGCACGTTTGTCCATATATACAGTCTATTTGAATTCATATTGATGGGTATGGCAGTACAAGAAGCTGCCATGTCTTTTGGATATCAAATGAAATTCAAATTTGATTCAAAACAATAAAAATATTAATTATTTTGGAAACCATAGGTCCCTTTAATACTACTAAAATACGCTAAAGATTTTGCACTTATACATTATTTCACATTTAATAGGTTAAAGTGCGAGTATGAATAATTTTAATGCTTTTATACATGTACACTGGAATTTTACAATTAAATAAATTGATGGTGGATGACAGGAATCAGTTTTCTCATTGTTGGAGGTGAAGGATACAGGAAAGTAAGGGGAAGAGGCTAGAGGGTCTGTGGGGTAACGGATTGAGTTGGAGACACCACATGAACTTATATTTAACATCATATACACATATATACATGTGTGCTTACATTTAGAAATATTTATATTATATGAGTATAACCATAAGTAGGAAACACACATATCTCCTTATTCTGCTAGCTGAAATGGCCTAGAAAGCAACAGCATTGCAGAAGCAACGAGCACACGGAGCCCTGAGATCTTGATTCTTAATGCAATTTGTCAATAAAAGGGATCAGTGCTCCTTGGAAAAATGGCTGAATCTAGGACTGGGGCAGAAAAAAAAAAAAAAAAAAAAACAACCATGAACCTAGAGCATCTTTGAAGTGCCAGACACTAGGTACTTAAAACGCACACATACACACAATGTCGAAGACACATTAAAGGGTATAGGAGCTAACTTAAACTTCTTATGGCCATAGCTAGAACAATTTGAGCAACAAAATACATAGTAGGCTATATAACCCAAAGTATGAAATAAATGTTCTTGAGTCCATATTTCTACAGTTGATGAAGATATTCTACATAAATTCCCACTGCTCAATTGTAGTGTGGCTTGCTTATACTAACTTCCTTCCAAATAGAACAGAATGAAAACAGTAAAAATAAATAAGTAAATAAAAAGAGTAACTTTATGCTGGATGCCTGAAGTGTACTAGTTCAGCAGGGTGATCAAGGGTTACATCAGGTATGATGAGGCACACTGATAGTGTAAACCTCTGATGTGCCATGATGTAATGAAAATGACAGCTGACCTCTGTTCTTCTATCCAAACACTCATAACCCCAATGTAATCAACAGCAAAACATCAGAAACATCCCCACTGAGGCTTATTCGGAAAAGAATTCCTCACTGAAATTTTGAAAACTGTCAAGGCCATCAAAAATAAAGGAAATCTGAGACACTGTCACAACCAAGAGGAGCACAAGGAAATATCTGCACTAAACATAACGTGGGTCCTGGATGAGAATCTGGAATATGAAAAGTACAGCAGCCAAAAACTAAGATGACCAGAATGAAGGATGGACCCCGATCAACAATACCGTATTAATATTTGTTCGTGTATTAAAACAATAACACACTAAAGTAATACATTAACAGAGGAAACACTGAATTATATGGCAATTCTGTAGTATCTTTGTAGTAATCCTGTAAACCTAAAATTTTTAAAATAATGTTTACATAAAATATAATGGGGAAGAAAAGATAAAGCTGTAAGAAGAGTGAGTATATAGTACAACACTATAAATAAATATTAAATTACATAGTACATAGTGTGGTGAAAGTGGAGAAGAAATGTAATGAAACAAGATTAGAGAAATCAAGGAGAGGATTCATAAAAGGATGATGTTTACGTAAAATCAGAAAAGGAGCTAAGACTTGCATAGATGAATTTGAAAGAGGAAGATCTGGTTGGAAAAGAACAAAGCATAAGCAAAGAGTTCAAGAGAGAGACCATTCATTGTAGAATTACAGGAAATAAATTTGCATACATGAAGTTTAGTTGCTACCAATACTCAGAGCATTAGCTATAGGCAATAGATGAAGGAGGTTTGATTTAAAAACAATACATACACACATATACACACATTATGCATAGTTTTGTTTTTTTTTTTTTTTGGACAGACAGAGTTCGACAGTGAGAAAGGTCTTCCTTTTTCTGTTGATTCACCCCTCAAGTGGCCATTACGGCCGGCATGTTGCGGCTGGCGCACTGCGCCAATCCGAAGCCAGGAGCCAGGTGCTGCTTCCTCCTGGTCTCCCATGCAGGTGCAGGGCCCAAACACTTGGGCCATCCTCCACTGCACTCTTGGGCCACAGCAGAGAGCTGGACTGGAAAAGGAGCAACCAGGACAGAACCAGCACGGCACCACAGGCGAAGGATTAGCCTAGTGAGCCACGGCACCGGCCTATACAAAGATCTTCTGGGAAAGAATTGTAGCTGGAAGAATTGTCTTTGTCGTTTGCTATTGCTGCAAGAGAGTATGTGAGACTTTACAGTTTACAAAACAGAGAAGTTTGTTTTAACTCATGATTCCAAAAGCTGGGAAGACCAAAAGCATGGTGCCCGAATCTGCTAGGTTTCTTCTGAGGTCTCATGCTGCATTGCAGTATGGGAGAAGAGCAAAGGGTGAAGTGAGAAGGAGAAGATTCAATTTATAACAATCTTCTTCGGCGGTAACCATGAATTAACTCACTCCCGTGGGAAAGGCATTGATCCATTCACGGGGGCTCTGTCCTCATGAAACAATTGCGGGGTCCTGCACTGTAGCATAGCAGTGAAGTCACTGCCAGTAGTGCTGGTATCTCATATAGGAGCCAGTTCGGGTCCAGCTGCTCCACTTCCAATCCAGCTCCCTGCTGTAGCCTGGGAAAGCACTGGAAGATCGCCCAAGCCCTTGGGCTCCTGCCCGCATATGGGAGACCCAGAGGAGGCTCCTGGCTTCTGGCTTCAGGTTGGCCCAGCTCCAGCCGTTGCAGCCATTTGGGAAGTGAACCAGTGGATGGAAGACCTCTTTCTCTCTTTCTCTTTGCTTCTCTGTAACTCTGCCTTTCCAATAAATAAATCAATCTTTTAAAAAAATTGCCTCTGAAATTGTTTTTACTGCCTCTTTTTACTGTAATATTGGCAATTAACTTACTCATACATGAACTTCTGGTGAACACATTCAAACCACACCAAGGATGAAATGAAAGTGGAAATTCTAATAGAGAGGCTTCCTTTAAGAAAACACTGGTTATTATAAGCTCAGGATTACAGCAGCAGAGGCAAGAGAATTAAAAAAAAAAAGATATCAAATAATGATAGACTGATTTGATATGATAGACAGGAAGGTAATTGTTATACACTGAGTTATGTCTCCTCAAATTCATATGTTCAAGTCCTAACTCCCAGTACTTCAGAATGTAACTATATTTGTAGACAGGCTCTTTGAAAATATAATTAAGTTAAAATTAAGGTTATTAGGAGAGTCCCTGATCCAATATGACTGGTATCCTGAAAAGAAGAAGAAATTAGGACAGAGACTAGACTATGCAAACACACAGAAAGAAAATAGCTGTCTTTGACACAAGGAGAAGCTACAAAAGAAATAGTGCTGCTAATACCTTCATCTCAGACTTCAAGTCTCTGGGGTTGTGAGAAAACCAGTCTTTGGTGCTTTGTTATAAAGTGATATAATGCTCTGATATAACAATTATCAATTTCAAAATTTTGCAACCTCATACAGTAACTGTGACGTCACTAGAAGCGAATTGGAAAACGGAGGAGGGAGTTCTTGTAGGCTGTGGCAAAAGATGAATCCCAAACACAGCAATAAATCATTGCCCACTTTGCATCATTTCACAGATCAACAATAGGAAAGATTGTCTCTTTACTCTTGTCACCACTGGACCATGGACAGTGTGAGGCCAGAGCCTACTCCTTTGCTATTGGTCACTCTATCTGTGATGCCAAAAATAAATGTATAAATACTTATTAAGTAGGTAAATTTGTATTTCCCACAGTGCCAAATGCAGTCTCTTAGATTTTGTAAGCATTTTACTAATGTTTGATGAAACAAATCAATGGGAAAATATGTTTTAAATTCTATCAGAGTTGTAATTATTTTTAAATGTCAATGATGTCAACATAACTTAACTGAGAAAACAACTATTAAAGTAATGGGAAAATTCATGTAAACATCCAGTCACTTCAAGTATTTTGTTTTAAGAATATTTTAATTCCAATTAAATTTGAAAGTGAATGCTTCCAAAGACCACAGTTTGCTACTTCAAATGAAAGAAAAAAAAAAAAATGACTTCTAAGCTCTTCCAAAGATCTCAACCCAACTGAAAAATCAGTTCATATCTGTTCTCATATTTCTTTGTGTTATAGTTTCCAAATGTGATTGACATATATTCCACCACAAATAATGGTCTCCCAAAACAATATTAAATCAGTATCAGTTATTACTTACTTGATTTTCCCAGGTGGAAAGAATCAAGTCTTAGCAGGTCTCCTTTCTATGTTAGGCTGATGAATATCAAAGTGGAGTGACACACAGAGGGAAGCGAGTAGAGGGAACTTTGCTTCCTGAGATATATATTGTACATCAGAAATCTAGGTGACTTACATTCAATTAGTAAACTGCAAACTATCTCCATGAAATATGTTCCTATTCTTAGTTTATTTAAGAGGAAATTTGAGCTCAAATTGGTTGAAGTGCCTTTCCAATATGTCTTTTTAAGTTATTTTTTATTAATAAGAGGACAGATTTCATGTATTTCATAGATATAATTCTAAGAATATAATATTTCTTCCCTCTATCCATATCTTCTTCCCTTCCTCCTTTCTTTTATTCTTTTAATTTTTATGATAATGTATTTTCAATTTACCTTATATTAACAGGTTTAATACTCCTCTACTGACACTTTGAGATATGATGATTTTGAACAGGCTTTTTGTGATGTTTGTGGGACAGTTTTTTTTTTTTTCATACTATTTTTTTCACTCTTTACTTAGTGTAGAGTTAATCTTATGAGTATAAAGTTAACTAAAAATACATCTTTGTAAAAAAATAAGAATGGGAATAGGAGAGGAAGGATGAAGAAGCATCAGAGTATGGGTGGGAAGAATCACTATCTTCCTAAATTTGTATAAATGAAATGCATGAAATTTGCATTCCTTAAATAAAATTTAAAAACAAAACAAAAACAGGAAAAAAAAACTCAAAGAGTTCAACAAGTAGAAAGAAGTCCATTGCTCTGCAAGAATATGTCTCTTATTAAAAGATTTATTTCTTTATTTATTTGAAAGGAAGAGAGAGAAGGACAGAGGTAGAGAGAGAGAGAGACAAAGACAGAGATCTTACATCTGCTGGTTCACCCCAACCCCCTAAATGGCTGCAATGGCTGAGGCTAGGCCAGGCTGAGGCCAGAAGTCAGGAACTCCTTCCTGGTCTCCCACATGCATTACAGGGACCCAAGTACTTGGGCCATCAAGTGATTTCTTCTTAGGTGCATTAGCGAGGAGCTGGGTAGAATCGGAGCAGCTGACACTCAAACTGGCGCCCATGTGGGACGCCGAGTGTTGCAGCAGAGACTTAACCTGCTGTACCACAATCCTGGCCCCTCCAATATGTCTTCGTTCAAACTGCCATAACAAAGTACCATGGCTTAGCTGGTTTATCAATGACAGGATGAATCTTAGAAACCTTGGTCACTTTCATGGACCAAATCCTCAAAAGAACTTGGTTCCTGTGTTGAGCCATCACATTTTCCAGGTTCTCCAGTATGTCTATTCAGACTCTAGAGTCCAAGAGAAATTTTGCTTTAAGAACCTATTATCACATTCTTCATCATCTTACTCCCTCTGTGTCCTCACCACGATGCCCTATACCTTGATTTCGAAGCAACTTGACTTTGGTTAAACTTTTTGCATCCTCAGACAATACCCATTATGCAGTAATTCTCTCACTGTGTATGCAAAAGGAAATATTCCAAGACATTATCAGCTAAATTGTCATTTGGAAATCAACTAGTAATAAGAGAAGATGCCTTCGGCATCATCATACATTGCCTGCTGCTTTAGGTCCTGCAATCAAGCATGCAGTAATATTCTCAAACAATTGTATCAAGTAACAGTTAATTATAGGAAATTCAGTACCACTTAGAAATCTTGCCAATGATAATGATGAGGATAATAATATTACTTCTTCCTAAATTTTATGAGATAAGAAGGGCCACGATTTGTGAAATAATAGCCAAGTCCCAAGTAGACTTATAAAAATGCTTTGCACATGTACATGCACACGAGTGAAAACAAATATGGTTAGAAGAAAAATTCAGGACCACAACTTTGTTACATGCGAATAGAATTAGTGAATAACAATGTATGCTGATCTTACTGTTTGGCCCATGCACTGTGTGCCCAAAAGAGCATACAGGTTTTGTGCTCAGACTGGAATGAGACACCTGAGTTCAAACCCAGCCTCTAGTTCCTGACTGAAGGAAGCGGCAATCACAAGGAATGAGGGATACCTCCTTAGATGGAAGATGCATGACAGCATTAAAAGATAGCCTCATGATTACCAACCTTCACAGAAGTTAGCTGTGGTTACTTCTGCTTTTAATAGTTATCTTTGCAAAAAAGCAAATGACCTATTTCCCTAATTTTCTATTTTCTTCCCACCCCGTATTTAATCTATGAGTAAATCCTACCATTCTCACTTCTAACTGGCTTGCTGAACCAGCCAAATTCTTACCACTTACATCGCTATCACTGCCTTGGTTTGGGATATCCCAGAGGCAGAGCCAGAGACAAGAAATCAAGTGCAAGTATGCAAATATTTATTTGGAAGATAATCCCAGGAAACATCTGTGGGGGTGTGGGTGAGGCAGGGTGGGGGAGAAAATAAATGACGAATTTGTTCTACTGTCTTGGTAAGGATTCCCAGGTCCAATAAAAAACACAGCCTCAAACCATCCCACTCCAGATATCAGGAAGCTGGCAGATGGAGGGGCATCAGTCACTGTTTCAAGGCTGCTCACAGAGGCATTAATTCTTTGAGTACCTCCTCCATCTACACTGTCGTATCATACTGCCCCCTTACTTATCTTGATACAGCTATATTTTATCAAATTGAGTAAAGCCAAGCATGACTGATATTGTCACATAATTCAGTTACTCAAATGACCTCCTCAGAGAAACCACTTCTGAAAACCTATTTTAAAATAGTGCTGCACAGCTCTTACATACCACAAAATTATATAAAATGTTAGCAATCTTTGTCCCATATCAGCATATTCAGCAAATTCTATGAGCAGGTTTCAGAAATCAGGAATTAAAGAGAGTAGTTTTTATGCAAATAAATTTATTACTCACTTGTAAAAGGGAGATAATAAAATCTCTACCCAGGGCTGTGAGAATTGAGTAAAACTTATAAAGATGCTATCAGGAACTACAGAAATGCAATACAAAGGTGATAGCAATTTTGTACTTAACATTTTATTTATTTTGTTAGAAAGTTTTCTGTGAAATATTTTTCACTTCCCATTTTCCATATTTAACCATTTATTTTTGTTCATTTTGTTCTGTTACTTCCTAAATTTCTGTAACTATTTGGTATGCCTCACTATTTCTCGGCGTCTAATTTGGTGTTGCTCTATTTCTCCGTGACTTTTCAGTCATGCTATTTCTAGCTCCCTTCACATCCCCCTCTTGGGGGGCTCATCCCTCCTCTGAGCCTTCTGCCAGGGTTGTCTCTCCTGCAGCTCAAAGCTAACAAGAACCTGAACTGCTGCTTCTCTAGGACCTCAGAGCTTAGTGTTTTGTCAGCTTCAAGCTGTTCTGGAGAAAGTGTTGGCTTATTTCTCAGCTGTAGCATTGACTTAGCAAGTCTTTCTTCTAAACTTGTAAATAATTCATTTCAGGTCAAGTTTTTGCTACCAGAAACTTTCCCCAGTAAATAACAAGTTTCTTTATCTTCAGTAAGAAAGTACAGTTTGGTGGTAATAGTGGTAAGCAACTTATTAATAAAAGATAAGTTCTATAATAGGAAGGAGTATCTACTTTGGTACAACTCTGATTTTGCTACTATTTTTGATAGGGAGCAAAGTAAAGAATTATAGTGGCAATACAACTTCCTGCCCTTTACAAAGCCCGCCAATATGCAGTATTATCAAAAGCTTCAAGAGATAAGCCTGGCCTCAATGGGACACTAATACTCTTCTTGTCTCAATTTGTTTCATTTCAGGATCTCTAATAACTTAAATAATTGAAGAAATGGAGGTAGTAGAAACAACAAAAATGTAAGCATGAAGCAGGCTTCTGAGAGCAGACTTAACTGATTCTCATTTTGCAGACATCACACCTAATGCGAGAGACAGGCGTCTCAGTAGGATTTCCCAGCTACTTCAAACTGTCATTTTCTGGGCTGTCTCAATGATGGAATTGGAATCAGGTGGTTTGGGCATTCTGTTTGGGCACTCCAAGCCCAAAGGAGTGACGGCTGCAAGGCACAAAAGGGTACAAATTCTCTTCTTATTGGCAAAATTGAAAGCCCAGCCAGCCACAATGAAGCCGGCTCAAAGAATGGTTTATTTTCTCTTGTCAATCTCTGCAAGCTTATTTGTTGTTGGCATTTCAACAAGCAAGATTTATTAAGGGTGAAATGTCAATCTTGGGGTTGCTCCACCTTGTCCCAGGTCAGTAGGCAACCAAAGTGGTCATTCTAGCAAGTGGCATTTTGCAATCATAAGCACTTATGTGAAACCAATCTGAGAAATGATTTATGTTGACAGAGTAAGAGAGCAGATGCATAAAACAATAAAAAGATAGACAAAAGACAAAAGGTGCTTCAAAGGAACATTTCATTCACAACTACATCCAAGGAGTTTCATGTATATAAATGGATGACAATAATTTTCCTACATTATATTTAGGAAAAGACACACATTCATGTACTACTAAAATGTAAAAATAATTAAAAGCAGGGTTTCCTGGAAATAAATGTATTTAGCAATTTTGACAAATTTCTTCTTTAAAGTATGAGGATGGGGAGAGCTTTATAACACTGTGTATGTGGGGGGTGGCAACAGAGTCAGAGAAACCATAACATTAAAAAGATGCATAATCAGAGCATTTTATGGATAACACAGTGATAGTTTTTAAAAATGATTTTTAAAAATCCCTTTGAAATTGAGATTTGAATTATACATAAATATACCCACAGGGCTAGGCTTCTAAAATTCCATACCACCACTCGATTGTAATCTAAAAGTGATGCCAAGAATGCATAAGCACAAGCACATGTAACTTCTTCCACAGTAAAAATAACTAATATAACAGGGAGTGAAATGAAAAGAGCTGGCAATGCTTTTCCCCCCCAGCATATCAAGCAGGTTTTCATAAGGAAGCTGTGGTCATCAATCACTACCTCATTACCAGCCCGTCATCTGGGCTTAAGCTAAATGTATTCTGGCTGGCTGCCATACTAAATGTTCAATGAAACATCCTTAAGGCTCTCTACAAGTTCAGCTGAAGTCACACATGCTATACATCAAAGAGGAACATTAGCGTTATCATAGCTTAATAAATAGTGCCATTCTGGCAATGTAATCCTGTGTTCTAGAGCTATCTACCATCCCCTGTATTGTGCTGCTTAAGTAAACAATCTTTCTGTCTCCTCTGAGGTTTATTTAATGATAAATGCATGTAGAGATAATTAGTCACACTACTTCAGATATACAGACATACTTTCTCAAAACCTGAACATGAATGAGATCAACAAAATATTTTAAGACATATATGTAAAATATGTACCTCAGAATATAAATCATATACGTATATTGCTCTTCATCATTACTACTTTGACATGAACTGGAAACTTTTAAGCCAAATCATGGTTCCAATTCTATTTGAGACTTTGCCAAGTTCAACTGAAACAGATACAGTGTGGTACAGTCTTTATGGAAAAGGAAGCTTGAAGTTTGCACTGAAAACAATGGTCTCAGGATTTGCAACGTATTTAAGGGTATTGTTACTTTCATTCGTACAAACTACATCCTCAGATAATTGGGTTGGAGGATGGGAAATTTTTTGTGGGGTGAAAATACATAAAATTGTTGCAGAGAACTCAACATTTTGCAATCGCTGGTTAATTTTAAATTGGTCCGTAAAGCCTAAGGGTATAAACAACATGCACGTTACTAAGAAAAATGTCCCTGGCTTCTCTCCAAGTTGGAAAACCACAAGCAGTTCTAACACAAAATAGTGAGGTATGCCTTTTCAATGCTATCACATTTGTCCAAGCCACATAGCCTTATTTGGATTTCTTACTAATGCCATTAATATTTAATATTAATTATTATGATACTTTAATATATATTACTATATATAGATTTGAATTTGAGAGACTTAAAGATAAGCCTAAAATGTAAAAATAAACACAATAGAAGGACTTCGGTTCAAGACAGAGTATGGCAGCACTAAGCTACATTAAATAGGAAAAAAGAACCAAAGATTTACGATCAAACAGAAGATAAATATTATTTGGGGCCAGAGAATGAGACAAATGTAAAGTAGCATTATTAAGGCCCTTGTAAAGGGAACCACAAGTGAGCTGGAAAATTGGAACCATGAAAGTCTGGGTCTAAGATAGGGTTTGCATGCCAGGTAAGAGTAGCCAAGGTTGTTGCCAACCCACTTAAAGGAACTATGACCTTATTTCAAAAAATGGATCCAGACAGGATAGAAGAGCATAGACCCAGCCTCTTCATCATTAACTAAACCAAGACTTTAGCCCTGCAGGCTTCACTATGAGAAGAAGGTTCTACATAGATTAATATGTCAGAGAGGAAAAACTTTTTCTTCTGTCCTCATACTTCAGTCACTGAGGGCCTGTGAATATCAAGAGAAAAGTCATAGTTTTTATTGATATTTATATGCATAGGAGCTTATAGAAAAGAAGGGAGAGGACTAGGAAACATATTGGGCAATCAAGGAATACGAGCGATGCACTGCAACTTATTTCCGCAACTCATGTTGGCTATGACTTCTCATAACTGGTGGTAAGAGTAGTTCTTTTCCCAGTACAGAGTCGGGAAGGGAGCACCTTTACCAATGGAAATTCATGTTCTGCTTTTAGGCAAAAAGGAGGTGGGCAGAGATCACTTCCTGCATGTGCTGCTTCTCAATTGACCTTCAGCTCAAAATAATTCTTATGCTAAAGGGGCACATTTTGGGGTGGCCTAATCTGATTCCCTTCAAATACCTGATTCAGTACTAGAGTCCTGGAGGAACAAGTAAAGGAACTGAAAAAAACACTACTTAGGGAAGGTGGCAAGAGACAAAAAGAAAGATCAAAGAGAAACAACAACAAAAAAATCCTAAAACCCAATTAAAAATTAGCCTAGAGCAGGTATTTAGTTAAGACAGCCACTTCCCACACTGGAGGACCTGGGTTGGATTCCCTAATCTAGCTCCTGACTTCAGCTTCCTGCTCCTGCAGACCCTGAGAGGCAGTACTAATGGTTCTTGCCTGCCACGAGGGAGACCTTGCTTTAGTTCTTGGCCTTAATCCTGATCCAACCTTGGCCATTGCAGGCTTTCGGGGATAGAACCAGCGAATGGAAGAACCCTGGTGCTCTCTTGTGCATGTTCTCTCTCTCCCCAAGTCTGGCTCTCTCCTCCCTCCTTCTCTTTATCCACATAAATACATAAAATTTAAACAAAAATAAGCCTCAAAAACCAAGCTTAAATCATGTTAATACTAAAAAGAAAACCAACTAAATTAATTTGTAAAGCATGAATTCACAAAAATTAAGCTACCTTTACCTAATACCAACAAAAACTTTAAAATAAGCATGTCAACACTTGAAATGGAAAGTGACACATTGTTTTTTCCTTAAAACAAACCATCAACTTAGGACACAAAAAGAGTGGAATTAGATATAAGAAATTTGAAAAATATAACAGATATGAAAATGGAACTAAAATATAACCATCAAAAAATACTGAAAAGGTAACTCTTGCTATGAAGATATCAGAGTAAAAATTAGAGATGATACTAAAGAATTCATCTACAAGACAAAGGAAAAAGCCACTAACAAGCAGGTAAAAGATAGAAAAGACACCAACAGATAACTTAGAAGTTCCAAAGAATAAAATGGAAAGATAGAGGGGCACTTTTGAAAAAATAATAGGTGAGCATTTTACAGTGTTTGACAGTGGTAGTCACAGTAGGCATACATGTTTCCACAAGGCTTATAGAACAGTGCCAGAACAAAGCCTATTCATGTCTAGGTCTAGTACAACTGACAATACCAGGATTTTTAGGGACAAAAAGGAGCCCCTCAGGACCAAATCTAATCTCATCCATCTAGCTGCAATTGCTTGAAATTCCTTTAACTGGAGACAAAGCCTTTCAATCTATAGCTAGAGATAAAGGGCTTAAAATGCAAATAACCAGAGAGGAAGAATGTGTTCAGTCCATGCTCTGTTTACTTAGATGGAGTGTTCAAAACAGTGAAGAGGCACAAAGCAGGAGAGAGACTCTGCTGAGAGGAGGCCCCTGCAGAGAAGCTGCAGGGGAACCACCCTCAGGCCCAGGCCACCAGGGCTCTGGCTCCAGACTTCAGGGGGAAATGCGGTTCCTGCTCTGCTGCTCTTCGCATGTATTCCTCAGCGTGTGGAGTTCTGTAGCAGCTAGGGCAAGTTTGTTTGTACGTGGAGTCCATACCATCACTCCTCCCATTTAGAGCAGGAATTCTCACCCCCAAAAGCCTGAGTGTTTCCAGGACCTCTGTGAACCACAAGCCTCTTCTTCCTTATGGTGACAGAAATGGATTCACTCAACAAACTGCCTCAAAATTATTCTCTAGGTATTAAATATATGGGTGTGTCTCCTAATCAGTAAGCCTGGAATTCCTCAAGTGGAGGGAATGTGTCTGCTAAAATTTAAGTATACTCAGTGTCTAAACTGTACACTTAAGAGTATATTAAAATTTAATATCAAACCTTTTTTAAAAGATAATGATATTAGCTTAACTTATCATGCCTAAAGTTGATCAGATTGTCACCTTTCCCATAGACTAACTCCTCCTCTGTCTCTCGCAATTTCTGTCAAAAGACCAATAAACTGGGCATCCTTGGCATAATATTGGCTTTATTCCAGTCTCCTCAATCCAAGCACTTAGTAGTCACCAGGTCAATCATCAAAGTAATACCTTCAATATATTATATACTATACTATCAGTATTGAAGCAATAATAATGTCAATTAAAGTAATCATATCAATCAATCAAGCTATGGTATTGATCTTTTCATCCTTATTCCATTTGTTTTTCTCCTTGTCCCACTCTTTCCCAGGGCTGTGGCCCTCACATGGGGCAAAGATAAAAGTCTGGCAAACCTGGAAGGAATCTTGACTCCTCCACTGTGTGATGTCGGGCAGGGAACCTAACCTTTCTAATATATGGATTCAAAAGTCTAGGAAACGGTTTTGGGGCAATTTAGAAATAGTTTTGTTAAGGTTCCTCGTGAATGGCCATAGTGGTATCAGGATCGCCCCCCCTAAAATATGATGCCGGAATATGGTCCCCTTAAAGTTCCCCACGAGTCCCATTTGGGGTGCCACATGAAATCAGAGTTTGGGGTGCCATACAATATCACTGTATGCTTATTAATAAATTCCCAATATCAATAAGCCTGTATCAGTTCTTGCCTAATATTCAGAGAAGAATTCCAAATACCAGCACGGATAAATGAGGCAGCATGGTACATTTTTAAGCTTTTATTCAGTAAGAGAAATGCATAGGGAGTTAGGGCCCTGTCTAAAATAGAGGGGTAAATCTGGATTCATACCGAGTACCAGGAGCCAGCCATGTGGAGGAGCATCTAGGCCAGGAAGCATGGGATGGGTGGCCCAAAGGCCATACGCCCTAGAAGTGCAGGGCCCCACAGGCCCACACTGGCAAAAGGCCAAAGAAAGGAAGGGCCAGGCACACCATGTCCCAGGCTTTTAATATACTTTCAAAGGGGAGTGGTTAACTAACCTGATTGGTCAGTAGGTGCACAGGTGTGGCCAGGTAGGAGCATCAGGTCACACAGGGGCATGGTGAAGGCGTGGTCTTCCAGCGCACAGACTTAATCAATTTTTACCTGTATGCCTGCCTACATCAATAGTACTTTTAGGGTTATTTAAGTGTATTATTTTTATATGAAAGGGGACACACACAAATGAAGATATGTAATACAAGGGTACTACAAAAGCCTGTAGAAAAGGTAATTAAAGGGGCCGGCACTGTGGTGTAGCCGGTAAAGCTGCTGCCTGTAGTGCTGGCATCCCATATGGGCACCAGTTCAAGACCCGGCTGCTCCACTTCTGATCCAGCTCTCTGCTATGGCCTGGGAAAGCACTGGAAGATGGCACAGTGCTTGGACCCCTGCACCTGCATGGGAGAACTGGAAGAAGCTCCTGGCTTCTGGCTTTCAATAGGTGCAGCTCTGGCCATTGCAGCCAACTGGGGAGGGAACCAGAAGATGGAAGACCTTGCTCGCTCTCTCTCTCTCTCTCTCTGCCTCTCCTTCTCTCTCTGTGTAACTCTTTCAAATAAATAAAAATAAATCTTAAAAAAAAAGAAAATGTAATTAAAAGATAAGTTTATTTTGGTACAAAGATTTTGAAATCCATGCATAGAGGGGGTCTTCAGGAAGTTCACAGAAAAAGTGTACTATTGATATAGGCAGTCAAATAGAATAAAACCAATTAGGTCTATAAGATGGAGACCACACCCTCCACCAGGCCCCTGTATGATCTCATGCTTCTATCTGATCTCTCCTGAATGTCCACTTGCCAATCAGACTAAGTAACCATGACCCTTTGGAAAGCATATAAAAGGAGAAGAGTGCCCCAAAATTGCTCTCTGGCTCTCTGCCTTCACTTCACTATCTGTGATAACCTGTTTGTGGCTGCTCATAACCAAACGCTTGCTGCACGTGGCTCCTGGCCTGTTCTCTGCTTGGTACAGATCCCCACTTACTTCCAGACTTTGCTTTCTCCATTAGATAGAGCCCTCACTCTCTTATGCATTTCACACACTGAACAAAAGCTTAAAAACTTACCATGTCTCCTGGTCTATTTGAGCCAGTATTCAGAATTCTTCTGTGAATACATGGCAAGAGTCCACACAGCTTATTAACTTTGGAAATGTTAATAAGCAAAAAGGTTTCACTATGAAAAAATGATGCATGGATCAAAATGTTTTTGGACCAAAATAAGCTTATTTAATTCTATTTTCCATGAATTTCTTTGAAATACCCTCATATTCAACTTATTATTATCATTACTATAAATCTTTATTATCAAATATCTGCATCTTCTAATACACACTTTACTGCTCAGATAAACACCACTTTGCAAGTTATTTTTCTACTCAAAAGCCTTCAACAACTTCCCAGTAAAATCTAAATTATTTAATTTCTACAGCGATATTTGCTTATTCTTTTGTTTTCTTTATGAACTCACAGCCAAACTGAATTTATTCAAAGAAAATAAATAAATTCACAGAGGTAGGTGACCAACTGTCAGCAAGCATACAGACCAAACACATGGGACACTTGCTTATTCTAGCTATCAGAACACCAGAGATGAGTGCTCTATTCAATGAGAACATTGTCCTGTAAAACGCCTTGAAAAACCTACTAAGGTTCATTAAGAAATCCTGTGAGTGTGAATGCAAGGCCTGCTATGGAGCAAACTGCCAGAGACCACATCTCTGATCTCACAAGGAACCACTCAGAACATCAGAGGTGGTGTTATGGGAAAATGGTGGCAGAGAGTCGGTTCTTTGTCTCACATGGAAGAATTTCCAAGTGGACAAGGCAAAGAGAAAAGTGAGATTTAAAGGTTTAAAAGCAAGATATATCAGAGTCAAAGATCTCCAGCCAGAGTGTCATGGGGGGGAGGGGATGCTGCAAGAGAAGCAAATCCCAAAGGACCCCATGGCACTGGGGTTTTTAAGTACAATATCAGGGACTAAATTGTCAATCAAGAAGATGGAGACAACCCCAACAATAGACCTGATTTACAATTCTTTATCCTGTCTAGCATCACAAGGTGAGATACCTAACTTGTTTTTACAATAAACCACTCCCTTGCTATTCTCATGGTAAATTTGGAGATTCCAATGGACCTAGGTAGAACATTTTGTTTTTGCTAATGATAACCTTTTGGGGGGAAGCAAGCATTTTATACCTCAAATTCCATGGGGACCACCCTGTCTATTAACCCATCTGACTCCTTACAGTGGTACCAAAAATACCTTAACCTGGAGATATTTGAGATCCAACAGATCCAACCCTCTGACAGCTTTTTTAACCTGACAAAAGGCATGAATTTCTGGGAAATAAGGTAGGCATACATTCCAGCTTCAAGATGGCTACTACAGGGAAGAAGACTAAGAATAAAGCTATCAGAAATATACTTTCCACAGGGAGTTTCATGGCTGTGAAGGAAAGAGCAGTCACCTGCATAAAAGAACATTCTCACAAACTTGGCTCCTATCTCCTTTGCTCTCCTGAAAAGTCAAATGTCTATTCTAAGCAAACTTTTGTTCTTTCTGTGGAAGACTCCCTGTACCCCTTCCTCTACCAAATTAGATATATCAGCTTATTTGAACCATTTATCCAGCCAGCTATTTATTTTGCTAGCTCTCTTACACCATGAATCCACATTATTTTCTCCTGCTAATTTGTCTTTTGTCAGTCTATTTCCCAGGCTCTACCCAGGAAGCTAAGAGGGTGTGAAGTAGGCAGGCATACAGGCTAAAATTGATTAGGTTTGTGAGCTGGAAGAACACGCCTTCGCCAGTCCCCATGTGACCTCATGTCCCTACCAGGTCACACCTAGGTGCCCACCAGCCAATCAGGTTAATTAACCACTCCCCTTTGGAAGTGGGTTAAAAGCCTGGGACACGGTGTGTCCAGCCCTTCTTTTTTCCCTGGCCTCTTGCCAGGAGGGGCTTGCTGTAGCCCTGCGTCTCCAGGGTGCATGGCCTTCAGGCCACCCACCCTAGGCTTCCTGGCCTAGATGTTCCTCCATGTGGCTGGTTCCAGGTGCTCGGTGCATGGCCTTCAGGCCACCCACCCTAGGCTTCCTGGCCTAGATGTTCCTCCATGTGGCTGGTTCCAGGTGCTCGGTATGAACCCAGATTTACCTCTCTCAAATAAAGCCCTCACTCTCCTATGCATCTTTCTCACTAAATAAAAGCTTAATATGTACCATATGCTGCCTTGTTTATTGATGCTGGTATTTAGAATTCTTCTCTAAATATTAAGCAAGAACCCTCTCAGGCTTATTAATATTGGGGATTTATTAATAAGCATATGGTGATATTGTATGGCACCCCAAATTCCGGTAACACAAGTGGCATCCCAGATGGTGCTTCAGGGGAACTTTAAGGGCCACATTTTGGTATATTTTAGGGGGTCATCTCCGATATCAGGTGAGGCGAAGTTTTGGGTGTACAAGTGTCCATAAAACAAGCAAAGAGCTAATGGGAGTCACCTGAGACCAGGAAAAGATTTGCTTTTCTGTTCTTAAAACAACTACAAATATAAAAAGGTCAAAAGAGACAAAAGAAAAGAAGGAGAAAGAACTACGAGGGGAGCACTGGGACTTGCTCCAGGAAGGTCACTGGCAAGACAGACAAAGGTATTTTTTAAAAAGATGATGCCTACTATGCTTTTTGATTAATTTTTTGCTTCACTATACACTTATTTTCCATACTTTATTCAAATATCTTAAGGAAATACTAACCTCACAGATGGATTCTGTGAAAATCTGTGATAAGGACCTTTCTAAGAGTAGAGAACAGAGAAGGCATGAGGCTCTGCTAACAAGGCCCCTCTATGTGGAATGCTTTCCAAACACAATTCATTTTTAGTGTTCACCATTACCTCTCCAAACTTGTCTCATGTGCCCCTGGTTTTTATAGTAAGTACCTGTATCCCACATAGCACCCGATATTAATGATATTTTCAGGAAAAGGGCTGCTTGCTAACATCTTGGTCAACTGAAAGCCAGAAGGTTACAAGTCAAGTCACATGGGTAACTTTTTCTAAAAGCACATCCCTCCCCTCACTCGCAGTCCAGCATCTCAGGATTTGGGAGACAGGAGCATAAACATGGACACTAGCATTCTTTTAAGCTTTCCTTTTCCCTTCAATGATAACTTAGTCCAAAACAAAACAAAACAAAAAAACTACTATGCCTGACACAGAATAAGACAGGGATGATTTTGCAAATGTGAGTACTTGCAGCAGACAGCAACATCACCTTGGAGAGGCTACTTTCATCTACAACCTTATCAAAATATAGGCTAAGCAGCTAAGAAAATTCAAAAATTATGTTGAAAGCTCCATATACTATTAGAGGTATAACTTTTATATTGGGAAATGACATCATAATAGATTCAATAGGTACTTTTGGAGCTTTGAGCACAATTATTCTCCAGAAGACAGTCCTGGATTATGTGATCCAATTACCAGTGTAGTAAGGCAAAGGCCAACCTTGTCTGCATACAATGGAGAGGCAGAAAGAATATGGACATTGGACTAGGATGGATCAGCTCTTACCAGTTCCTAATTGTGTAACTTAAATAATTTTATCTTGGTTTTCCCACTTATAGATGTATATAAGACTATTTTCAGGTTTGCCACAAGGATTTAAAAAGACATTTCATATGATAAATGCTTCTAGAAACATTTAATGAATGTGTTTCTTTATCCTTTATTAATAATAATACTATTATTGTAAAATAAATGTGTATGTCCTAACTAAAAACAATATTCTATTGCCTTCTGTTATCTACTACCCTGTGGTTTAGAACTGAACAGATTCTGTAAGACCTCAGTGGAAAGGAAGGGTCATCATAGAAGAAGGTACTCTTCTTTGCAGGGAGGAGAGAGTACCCATTTTGCTTATGGCCGTGTCCAAATACTGATGGAGTCTATGGTCACAAAAGGCATCTATGGCCTTGGCAGCCCATGGCAAGAGCCTCAGGTGATCACTGATGTCATAAATAAGAGTATTAATTGTTAAAGGAACAACAGAAGTCATTGTGCACTTACTCCCCATATAGGACCCCCGTCCCTAATGAGTTGTACTATGAGAATCAACTGCAAATGTTGTTCCCAAACTGTATTCTATATGTTGTGTGTGTGCATGGGTGCAAACTGTTGAAGTCTATGCTTAGCATGGAGTTGGTCCTCTATATATAAAGTCAAACTAAAAATGAATCATAATGAAGAAGGAGATGGGAGAGGGAGAGGGAGGGGTGTAGGATGGGAGTTGGGGAAGGGAGGGTGGGTACGAGGGAAAGAACCACTGTATTCCTAAAGTTGTATCTACAAAAAAATGTATTCATTAAATAAAAACTTTAAAAATAGAACTGAACGGATCATTGTACTGTATTAATTATCAAATGCTATTTTGTATATGTGTGTATGTGTGGGTACTTGGTTGTTCATCTCATCCTGTATTTTTCTTATGTATATAAATTTTGGAAAAAAGAAATTATAAGCAGTGTACATATTTGAAATTATAGATAAGAAACAGTTGAGGGGCCAGAATTGTGGCACACAAGGTTAAGCTACCATCTGTTTTGCCAGCATCCCATATGGGTGCCCGTTCACATCCCAGCTCCTCCAGATCCTATCCAGCTCCCTGTTAAAGCACCTGGGAAAGCAGCAGAAGACGGCACAGGTACTTGGGCCCATGCCACCTGCATGGAAGACTCAGAAGAAGCTCCTGACTCCTGGCTTCAGCCTGGCACAGCCCAGGGCATTACAGCCATTTGAGGCATGAAGCACCAGATGGAAGGTCTCTCTCTCTCTCTCTCTCTCTCTCTCTCTCTCTCTGCCTCTCCTTCTCTCTGTAACTCTGCCTTTTTTTAATGATTTATTTATTTATTTGAAAGGCAGAGATAGAGAGAGGCAGAGACAGAGAGAGGTCTTCCACCCACAGGTTCACTCCCCAATTGGCCGCAATTGCCAGAGTTGCACTTATCTGAAGCCCGGGGCTTCTTCCGGGTCTCCCATGCAGGTGCGGGGGTCCAAGGATTTGGGCCATCTTCTACTGCTTTCTCAGGCCATAGCAGAGAGCTGGATTGGAAGTGGAGCAGCCGGAACTCAAACATGTGCCCATATGGGATGCCAGCACTGCAGGCAGTGGCTATACCTGCTACGCCACAGTGCCGGCCCCTGTAACTCTGCCTTTTAAATAATCTTAAATAAAAAGTTGAACTTACTAAAGCCTTAAAAAAAGAGCCTAATCCTAAAGTGATGTGAGATATCAAATAACCAACAGGCTCATTAAAAAGAAGACTCCAGTGTTAAAAATAATCTAGGATGCTGAGTTGTTGAGTTCTTAGCAATGTGTATGTATGCATACTTAATTTCATATAATTGGTAGATAAACAAATAGGATTTTCAGATATGACTTTTTTCCAATTATCTCATTGTTAATGTAAGAAACTCACTGGAAGCTTAAGACCTATTTTTAGTATGATCAAATTAGATTTGCAAACACATATGGACATCAACAGATGATGCATCACATTACTATTCAAGACAACAATGTTCTGAGTGACACTGATAAGGTCAACACAATCTTAAAGCTGGTCCTTATTCTACCCAATTTAACTGAAACACAGGGGCAGAAATTGTATTATTTACCATATCTCAAACGAGGTTAACTATCAAAATGTATTAACCTAAAGTCAGTCAGTCATCAGAATAATCTGACAATTTATCTAGCCAACATGTATAACTAACAACTCATCAAACATTTAAATACACAAGAAGTCAAGTTACATAGTTAGAAATTTTAAAAGCATTAAATACTTGGACTTCTTTTTAAGAAGAAATTCCTAACCAGGAACAAGGGCATTTCCCAAGCCTGCTTGTTGCATTGTTTAGGGGTAGGTGATTATCCTAGGGGTTAAGATGCCCCCATCCAATTTCAGATATTGTTCCTGGGTTCAATGCTTGCCTGCAACCCCTGACTTAAGCTTCCTGGTACTAAGACTGATACTTAGCTTTAATATCATTTTTATTCTTCCCTGGGATGAATTAAGGGATGTGTATTCTAGCATAAGATATTTTTCATTTAGTCCATTCTTCAGATCTCCTTCTCAATTTGAAAAGCAACTCTAAGCTTCACTGTTTTTCTTAGATGAAGGGTATGAATTTCTAGCACATGGAACAGAGATATAAGGCACTGCTTAGGGGCTGGTGCTGTGGCACAGTAGGTTAATCCTCTGCCTGTGGCGCCAGCATCCCATATGGGAGCTGGTTCTAGTCCCGGCTGCTCCTCTTCCAACCCAGCTCTCTGCTATGGCCTAGGAAAGCAGTAGAAGATGGCCCAAATCCTTGGGCCCCTGCACCTGCACGGGAGACCGGGAAGAAGCACCTGGCTCCTGGCTTTGGATCGGTGCAGCTCTAGCCATTGAGGCCACTCGGGGAGTGAACCAATGGATGGAAGAACTTTCTCTCTGTCTCGCCCTTTCACTGTCTGTAACACTGTCAAATGAATAAATAAAATCTTAAAAAAAAAAAAAAAAAAAAAAGCACTGCTTAGCCCATCTGTCCTAGGGCTGCACTGCAGATATATCAATTGATCATTCCTTTGGAAAGACCTCATTGGATAGGCAAGGAATGCCAATTCTAGGTCCCAACTTCTGAACAAGGCTACCACAGTGTGCAATCAGTGTTGGAAAATTTGATTGGAATCTGCCTCAGAGTTGAGGACTCCATTGAGAGGCAAGCACAGCAGCAGAAACAAAAAGTGGAAGATCAGATATAAAAGATGCTTGACTATCAAAGGGTAAAGAATTTTACTTACACTCCTTATATTGTCCAGGTCTCACAAAGCCTAGCAACATTTCATTTCCCATTTTTCTCTGAGTCATCCTTCACGAGGCATAGCTAGCACAGTGTCTTTCTGCCGCAATACCAGCAAACATATTTGCTGAATATTGACTAATCCTCTACATCTCTAAAAGGAGGAACTTAGAAGGGAAAATCTTAAGCTTATCTATGCCTAAGAAGTAATAAAAATCTTAAATCTTATGTGACTATTGAAAGGTCATATTAAAAACCCTTCCTATTGTTTTCTGACCCTTAGTTATCAGATCACTACATGAGGCAAATATTTGTGTACAGTATATACTTCTGGTGGCAATATACTACAGAAAATGAGTCCTACAACCTGTGTTAAAAGGCAAATATTTTAAAATTACTATTTAGAATATGTAATACATTCACATAGTTCAAAAGTAAGATAATGAAAGCTATAATGTGGAAGTCATCCTTAACTGTTTTGTCATTTGTGGTTTGTTTTTTGTTTTTGAGTGGGTTAGCCTTGTTTTCATGATTTTATGAACACTTAAGAAAATACCCATACATCTCCCATTTTGTACATGAATAACATATCCTGTTCTACATCAAACTCTTTTCATAGTAATAATTCATCTCAGGGGCTGGCACTGTGGTGTAGTGGGTAAAGCCGTCACCTGCAGTGCCGGGATCGCATATGGGCGCCAGTGCTAGATCTGGCTGCCCCACTTCCGATCCAGCTCTCTGCTATGGCCTGGGAAAGCAGTAGAGAATGGCCCAAGTCCTTGGGCCCCTGCACCCATGTGGGAGACCCAGAGGAAACTCCTGGCTCCTGGCTTTGGATCGGTGCATCTTCAGCTGTTGCGGCCAACTGGGGAGTGAACCAGCAAATGCAAGACTTCTCTCACTCCCTCTGCCTCTCTTTCTCTCTCTGTAACTCTTTCAAATAAATACAATAAAAATCTTAAAAAAATTGATCTCAGAGATATCTTCCCTGCAATTTATAAAGATCTTCAACAGTTAATGCTTCATAGTATTCTAGTGTATAAATGTGCTCTACTTTATTTATCAATTACTAGCTAATTTCTCAATAGACATTTGTTTCCATTGCTTTGCTACAACAAATAATATGACAGTTTAATAAGCTTATAACCACATCATTCCATGTGTATAAAGTAATTTCCCAGACATGGAATTGATGGTTTTACATTTGCATTGTGCAAAAGTGTCAGTATCCTTATAGCCTCATCAACTATTTGTCCGTCTGATAGAAAAAATAGTATGTTGGTGAAGTGTTAATTTATCTCATTATATGTGAAGTTTAGCATCTTTTCAATGGTTTATGGGTCATTTTTATTTCTTTTTCTATGAAATGTGCTATTTTATCTTAGTGCATGGGTCCAACTATATCACAGATAATACTCCAGTAATTGGAATGACACATAATGAAGAATTTATCTTTTCTATACTGACTTGGAATGCCATCTTTTACATAAATGGAAAGTCCTTATGCATTGTGTCTATTCTTAAATTTTTAAAATCTATTCTGTTGATCAGTGCCTCATGCTCTAATACCATTTGACTTTAATTGTTGAAGCTTAATGATAAGCAATATTTTATCTGATATACTTTAATTTTTGCTGTTATTATAAATACAGTCATTGCTTCTACTACATTTTCTGATGGGTCATTGTTTGCATATATAAGTTATTAACCTCTACATACTTTCTTTGAAGTCATAAGTCATATTACTGAATTCTGCTGCTGCCTCCATGTGGTAGACCAGATGGAGTTTTAGGCTCCAGGCTTTAGCCAGGCCCAGATTTGGTTGCTGAGGTCATTTCAGGAGTAAAGCAGTTCATGGAAGATCTGTTTTTCAATGCAATGTTAAATGTGTATATATTTCTATTTAGTGACTTGACCAGCTTAACAGGATTACCTCAATACTCATGATAAAGCAATCAGTTAACTTGGACTCCGCGGTCTTTCATAATTCACTTTCATTTCTGCTGTTTTTATCATATTGGTATTATCAGAGCATGTACCATTCATATTATTTTTCCCACCATAATCCCCACATTTTATTCTTAATTATTGTTATATATGTGCAGAGCTCATCAATGATACTTTTGCCACAGTTTCTAGCATGTTCCCTGACTAAAAGCATTTACTATGACAATTACTTTAGGCAGTTTTAGATTATAATTACTCTAAGAAAATTACTGTATTTTAAATAATGATTTCTTTGGACACAGAGAGGAAAAGTTTTGTCATATTTCAGAGGGAAAATATTAGACTGGCTTTATATTCCCTGCAGCCTCACTCTAGAACAGAAACCAACAGAAGCAACATCTACAAGATAGAGAAAGAAAACGTGAGCCAAACCGTTTGTATTCCCCCCAACTGTCCTTCAAATACAGTCTACAAACAAACAATTTGACCACAAAACAACAAACAGCTCCAAAAAGATTGTTTCCTGGAGACTGTTCTAGATGAAACTTCAAGAGAGAAAGCAGCCTTCCAAGATTACCTATCCAAAGATTTTCTCAGTATTCCTGCCAGAAACATAGATTGCTTCATGCAAATATGCCTTATTTGTGTTGAATTCCTAGAGTACTTCCGATTTCTGTTTTTCTAAACAAAATCGAGTTCAAAAAAATTGAGGGTTTTATTTATTTATGTTTGACTACCAGCATTGCTCCTCTGAGTTCCGACACTTATTCGTTTGAAAAAAGAGTGAGCATTCTACCTGCAGAGATGACCCTTTCTAGGATTCCCAGGGCCCTACAACAGTCGTTCTCATGTTTTTCTTGTCTCAACAGCTTCTGGCCATTTCTAAATGACTTTGGAATACACTGGTGATATTTACTTCATGAACTTATTTAAAATAAATTGAAATTTTGATACCATTGTTGTTGATTCCAGTGAAAAATAAGACCTATCTTATAAACATTTAAATATTTTGGTTACCTTTTCACAAATAAAATTAAGCTAACAAGTATTATTCTTAGTTTTAATAATTTACATACTTTCTTTAATAATCTTACATCTGATGGCAAAAAATGATAGGGTGTTAATCATAGAACCCAAGTATCTATCACTTAGAAATGAAAGGGAAATTCTCTTGAACTAAGATATTAGATGAATAGCAATGATGAACATTTTTAAAAATATAAAAATACAAAAAAATTCTAATTCTTATATATTTTTATACAGCATGGGTGTTTTACTAAAAGCAAGTAACTTGTATTCCTAGATCATACATTGTTTCAAAAGGGGAAACTACACATTATAACATGCAATAAAACAACATTGAGCATAATTTCATTCAACAATGTAAACCTTTGTAATTGCTCTGACCTAGCTAAGACCTGGCTATGGAAAGATTGTCTCAAACTACTTCGACTTGTTATCAGACCATGTTATGTAAATCTATTTTTAAATAATTATTATATAATTATTTGAATTTTTCTGAGAATAAAGATAATTTAAAATTATTCTATATCTGAATTTTTTTCTAATATATCAGATATTTTGCCAGTTATTCATGACTCATTCTTTCTACTCCCTCACTCATAGTCTCATCTTCAATCAGATTTTAATTATCTTTCACTTTGACTACAGCCTTATAGAAACATAAAAAGTTATTAAAAAGAATGCTGCAGTCAAAATTATATCATTGAAAGCAGTCTAGATTTAAGTTGAAGGTATTAGAAAGTGAGAGTTTGAAGCTATCAGTAGATTTTGGTCTGACAGGCAAAAGTCATACCGTCTGCCAGACTAACAATATACAAATAGCCTCTCTGTCTCTGTGGTAAGGAATTTAGAAGGTGAGATTCAGTGTGGATTCAATCAAGTAGCAGCCATCATCCAGAAAAGCTAACCTGAGATAGTAGAACTCTGAGCAATCAGTCTGGAGTTGAGTTAGCACATGGCACTATAGCCAAACTGATCTAAAACTAAGGTAAAAGTGAACCGAGTCTTTGGAATTCTGTTAACATAATAGGAGAAGGGATTAGATAGCTGGAACTTAGAGGTAATTTGATATTTGTGGGTAGGTCATCTCAAGAGATATTTAGTCAAGTATTTGATAGAAAGTCACATACATGGGGAATAAATTTTTATTTTTTATAACATTAAGGTTAAAATTAGTATTCTGAGGATAAGTCTTTCAATATAACTACTGAAAGGAGTACTTTCATAAATAAAAAAAATGAAGAGCAAGCAGATAGCAGTAGAATTAGAGCTAAAGATGATGTTGATTTCCACCATAAAGGAACACTGCTTTATTCACAATTGAAAGTTGAAGATAGATAAAATTATAAAATAGCTAATTCATGTTAAATATTTGTTCTATGCCATGAAATTTTCTATGCATTTTCTCTGTGCCAATTCATTTAATGATTTCAATGATCTCACAAGAAAAACTGTATTATTATGCAGTCTTAAAATGAAGAAGACTGACACAAACAACCATTAAGTAACCTGCTTACTGGCATAGTTGGATTTATGCCCAGGCAGTATGGCATCAGCATTTTCTTTTTAAATAAACTCATCTTTTATTTCCATTTCCCTCAAACTATTTTTTAAAATTTAGTTATTGTTATGAATTTGAAAAACTGAGAGACCAAAACAGAGATTTTCCATCCACTGGTTCAGTCTACAAATGCCAAGAATAACTTGGGGGGCCGGCGCCGTGGCTCACTTGGTTAATCCTCCGCCTGCGGCGCCAGCATCCCATATGGGCTCCGGGTTCTAGTCCCATTTAGGGCGCCGGATTCTGTCCCCGTTGCTCCTCTTCCAGTCCAGTTCTCTGCTGTGGCCTGGGAAGGCAGTGGAGGATGGCCCAAGTGCCTGGGGCCCTGCACCTGCATGGGAGATCAGGAGAAGCACCTGGCTCCTGGCTTCGTATCAGCGTAGCGCCGGCCGTAGTGGCCATTTTGGGGCAAACCAACAGAAGGAAGACCTTTCTCTCTGTCTCTCTGTCTATAACTCTACCTGTCAAAAAAAAAAAAAAAAAAAGAATAACTTGGTTGGGCCAAGCTTGAGCCAGCAGCCTATAACTTGATCGGGTTCTCCCAAATGTTTTACAGGGACCCAAGTACTTAATCCATCATTCACTGCTTCCCAGAGAGTGCATTAGCAGGAAGTTGGGATCTGCAGTAAAGCCAGGACTTGAGACCATACACTGCAATATGGGATGCAGGCATCCCAAGTAGAGTTTTAACTACACATGGTCTTCCTTAGGCGTCAGCATTTTGAATCATACCCACTTGATAGCCAAGCATTTTCAAAACTGCACCTGAACATATGGCTACTGTTCCCTAATTTTAGCTATATGAGGCCCTCTATATAACAATTTTTATATAGAAAAACCATTCTATAAGAGAAATCACCTAGAAAAAAATGCATTTCCCTCAGACCCTAAAATGAGGCACATTCTTTGCACAGTAGATTGCTTGCAAGGACAGCCAAAAGAATTCCTCCCATCACAATATACAAGTCTCTTTGAAGATGACTTTAAGATGTAGAGTCTATTATTTGTCCAGTGAATGCAGGATTGCATGGGTAATGCTTCAATCAACATAATAAGATGAGAATAATATTGTATGGCCTCCAAGTTTTGGGTGCAATAGTCACTGAAGCTTATACATTCTCATGGAATAATGCCACTTGTGATCAGGCCTGAACTAACCTCCTTGAGGATAGGAGAATGAGACTCCATGTGAAGAGAGAGACCAGATGGAGACAGAGACAGAGACAGAGACAGAGATACACATACACCTAGTTTTTCCTATTGAGTCCTAAGATATGTGAATAAGTCCATCCTGGGCCAATCAGCCCAGGCCAATCCATCAATAACACAATGCATATAACATCAGTTGATGTTAGGTACAGCAGAACTTTCCAACTTTACCCAGAACAAACAGATATCCCACAAAGCCATTAGCAACTAAATGGTCATTGTTTCAAGCCTTTAGTTTTGGGATAGTGTGTTATACAAGGACAGGCAAATTCAAATTCAAAGGTCTCTTGGGAAATTTTTTATTCTAACTATTCTTTCCAAATGGTCTTTTTTATACATTTTTGTTCACAGACAATACCTGTTAGAGTAGAACATACTTTATATTCTGGTTTATATTTCAACTATTACATCATCTTTCATTTTTTACTCTCCATTTCCTAATATTTTCTGGACTTTGCTTTTGTGTTTATAACATAACTGGCCTACAACGTATAATTTCTCTCCCCCTTCCATAGACAGACAATATGTGTTCATTAGTATATAATGATTCCATGGGCTGTCACTCTAGATGTTGTCTTCAAACCCAATAACATTTAGTTCACAATACTGTTATATAGTGACAGCTTAGGATATTATTTAAATAGTTATTTAATATATTTATTTGATACTCACTGCCCGCAATCACTTTTTAATCTAGATCTCTTAAATGCAAAGAGGCATCCTTTGCACATTCATTTCTTTCACACTTCACCAAAAATAACACAGTGTGGCTCTTTTCTTTATTATTCTAGGTCTTTGCTTCGGACAGAAGTCCTACTGAAAGTATAAATTGTCAAATTTTACCCATCATGAATATCTCTCAGTACTGGCAATTAGTTCTAGCTGTATCAATCACTAAGTGCTACCTTTTATCCTCAAAGCTAGACTAAAAAATGTCTCCACTATACTAAATTAAAAGTACAAAATTGAGGAAAAAAATCATCTGAAGGTGTGATTTGTTAATATTTGCTTTCTTATGAAGGACCCAAGTAAGGACAAACGGTCTGTCAATGACATATAAGACATCAAAACCACTATCAATTTTATGGAAGATGAAAACTCCCATTTCTTTTCATCATTTAATCAGTAACCCAATGTTTAGGATCCAGAAATGGTGCTACTTGTCAAGGATTGCAAATCCAGTTTAAAGATAGAAAGAGCAAGAAAACAGTTCCCTCATATTTACTGGGAATCCTTACTTGATTTGTACTGAGTATGTCTCAGATTTTAGTTTTGTTTTACATATACTATACATACATCATTGTAAAGAACAAATCTCTGCATGTTCTTTGATGTTATAATTGAAAAGGTATATTCATATTTAACAACTTAGCAAGGAGTTCCAGCAAATTTTTAAATCTAGAAGGTTTACATTTTCTTATGTTTGCCTACACATTTCAGTTTAATTAAGGAAGCAATTTTTAGTCTTTAATTAATTAAAACTATAATTATTCATCCTGGATTAGTAAATACTAAAAGTCAACTTAATGATATTCAGCTACATAAGGAGCTCTCAAGAAGGTGATCAAGTTCATTCCCACATTAAAAACTAGATTTATATGATAGCAAAAATGATAAAGCAAATAGTCTTCACTGTGGAGGTTAGCAAATTTTAAAATATAGAAGAGCTGTAGAAATTCTATGAATGTGTTATTAAATCTTCTTCATACCTCATGTTCTAGTTATAATTCTGTCTGCTCATGAATAAGTTTCTTAAAATATGTTTCACTTTCTAATTTGAATAGTTCTGTGGCTGGAAATAATAATCAATACATTAAGCCTGCTCAATTAACAATGTATTAATATTTGATAAGAAGAAAATGATGTATTTTTATATTGGGTAGTCAAATATCTGAAAATATAAGAAAATCTTACTGTAGTTGTCTTATTCCAGACAAACAACACTGTATTCAATTTAAATGACAGTTAAGACTTAAATATTTCTAAGTTAAATATAAGAAGGATGAGTATGGGAGTCAGTGCTGTGGCATGCATCCTGCGGTGTCAGCATCCCATATGCATGCCAGTTCATGTCCGGCTGCTCCTCTTCCAATCCAGTTCTGTGCTAATGCCTGGGAAAGCAGAGGGAGATGGCCCAAGTGGGAGAACCCAGAAAAAGCTCTTGGCTCCTGGCTTAAGATCAGTCCAACTCCCGTCATTGAGGCCATTTAGGGAATGAACCAGCAGATGAAGACTTCTCTCTGTCTCTCACTCTGTCTGTAACTATGCCTCCTAAATAAACAAATAAATCCTAAAAAAAAAAAAAAAAAAAAAGGAAGAATGAGTATAGAGCTCCAGGAAGTAATGATGAATTATCCTCATTTTTAGGCCATGACCACTCTGGAAGAAAATGGAGAAACTGGAAATCAAGGTAAGGCTGAGATAAAAGACAGAGATAAAAGGCAGAGATCCGTTATCCTCAGTAGGGTAGGAGCAGCGTCATCATTTCCTGTTCCTAACAGTCCCTTTGCTACCTCTATTCTTGCCTCACTGAGCTGAGAATGACTGCTTTGACAGCAAATCCAGTCATTTCACTAACCCAGCCTAGATATCCAGACTTCTGGCCTGGGCCTGCAGGCTTTGTTCCTTCTACTCTCAGCTTGCACGACCAACCTACCCTCTCCTCTTCAGGGGAAGAGCCCTCAGAATGCAGGCTCCAAACGCTGTACACTTCTGCTTTTGATCATTTTCCAAAATGTTTAATTATAAAAAGTGTGAAATATCTTATAGCTGTCTCCCTCCAGTCTAACTGCTCCTTGAGAGCAGGGACTATACCTATTTCCTTTACCATTCATTTCCACAAGCATCCTAGCATAGGTACTTCAATCCTCAGTTAGATGAATGAATACAATCACCATAAATAATATTTTCTTTTCTTTTTTAAAAGATTTATTTATTTGAAAAGCAGAGTTACAGAAAGGCAGAGGCAGAGAGAGAGGTCTTCCATCCGATGGTTCACTCCCCAGATGGCCACAGCAGCCAGAGCTGCACCAATCAGAAGCCAGGAGCCAGGAGCCTCTTCCAGGTCTCCCACGTGGGTACAGGAGTCCAAGGATTTGAGCCATCTTCTAGTGCTTTCCCAGGAACTGGCCCCTGATGGTACGCTGGTACTGCAAGCAGTGGCTTTCCCTGCTATGCCACAGCGCTGGCCACTATTTCCTTTTCTAATCTCTTAATTTATTCATTCATTCAGCAAACCATTTAATAAGGATTTAGTTTATGCTTAGTTCTAAAGCTATAATGGTCAAAAGGGCTGCAACCTTGCACAGTTCAGTTTCTAATTTATTGGCAAGTACATATGCAATGATAAAGTTTCATAATTAAAAAATTAACATGTTTACTTTCATATAATTTAGTTTGTCTATGATGGTGGTATTTTTTACTATATCTTGTTGACCTGAATAGTTGCTTGCTAATATTTTAACATCCCACATTGCAAAAGTGACTTTTAGGGGTGAGTTAAACATGTAGCTATATCTTATAAACCACAAAAGAAGGAATTAGTAGTACTTTTGGCAAAAGGCTCCTGAAGATTGATCCACGTATATTCTCCATATTTTTGCACATATGCAATGTGATGATCATCAGGATACTTGTACCCTGAAAGAATTTTGGAAGCTATTTCCTTATCTGTTAATAATTATCCATTAGGGATTTTGAAAAGTTCATGGGAAAAGCATGTTAACAAAAACTATGCATGGATCTTAAAATTTTTACCCCAAAATAAAGTTTTAATTCAATTTTCCAAAAACTTTTTGAAATTTTTTTTTGTGAAACACATGGCAAATACATTTATAAATGAGGTATGATTTTTCCCTAAGCAACAGTGGATAATTCAAGGTATACATCCATACTCATAAACACATTAGAGACTGAATACTACTACATAGAATAGTACTACTGACAGATTTCATTATTTATCACATAACATGCCATCTAACTAAAAACTATTCAATCATAAAATTATAATATTCAAATATCTGGCCATAATAGTTGCAGTGAAAAGCCTTAACCCTGAGTATGTGATGAGTGTTCAATTAAGACCTCAAACCTTTTTTCTGCTTGGGCATTGTTGTCTTAAGTATCTACAATTTATTCATATTTATACATAAAACATATGTGCAATTTTAATAGTTGTATATGATACAAAATTTGAACATTTAAGATATGTTACACCACATTAAGTTTAACCCTCATTTATGTCTTGGATGATAGATGCAAGAATTCCAACTGAGGCGATTTTATGAACCAGCTAAATGATTTGTATTCAGAACAGCATTAAAAATCCCCATGACAAAGTGTACTTGAACAAAAATACCCTGCTTGTGACACATTCTTTACAAGTAATGTGTTTTCATTTTTCACATGTTGCATCTCATTTATTTTATTCAGGCACACATACTTAAATCGGCAAGATACCGCAAGCTTCCAATACCTTTGAAATAATAAATCACTTCTTGCAGATGTTTTCACCCTCTGCAAGGCTGCCGTTCATTAATCAAACATTATCAGTTTCTATCAGTGCCCAGTGTTAAACAGAAAAGGCACTTCATTTTGAGTTCTGACTTTCATTCACTGGTTAGTCCCTGACCCCACAGTACTCAGTGCTTGCATTTTAGAAATGTGAAACCTCCTGTGGTGTAATGGATCTTGCAGCAAAAATTCTAAATGGTATTATATTTTCTCAATTCCATATTGTTTCATCCTGAGTTAAATCAAACTATATTTCTAGAATGCCAAATAAATCCAGTCATAATAGCCATTCAAAATTAGGTCCACAATAATGATATATTTATAATGTAGGCCCTGTTTCCATGAATATATCTAATCCATCAAATTCTAGAATACAGATGCACAGATTTATTTTTAATATTTGGCTTAAGCTATTAAAATCATTTCAAAAGACAATGAGGGATAATTTATCTACTGTAAATTTTAAATCTATTTTCTTTAAGAAAGATAATAGAATAAAAGAGCAGCTATGAAATGTTTCTCAATACTTTTTCTTTTCTAATGAAATATTTTGTAGGAAATGGATCAACTTCTATCACTAAAATCATAGTTTAGCTTATGGATTATTAGTCATTAGGGTCACCCTATTAACATCCTAAAGGCAACTGATAGAAAGTGGATTCCTTTATTGCCTTAAGAAAGCCCAATCACATACATATTGGAAAATACAATTTCAGCAAGCACTCATTTTCTTTTTCAAAGAATCAATCTCATGTTATTCATCCTCTTTTGACTAACAAATCTTGAACCGTAAGGACTCAAAGTCAACATTCACTTCAAAATTTGACCTGACTTAGCCGGCGCCACGGCTCAATAGGCTAATCCTCTGCCTGCAGTGCTGGCACCCCAGGTTCTAGTCCAGGTCGGGATGCCGGTTCTGTCCTGTTTGCTCCTCTTCCAGTCCAGCTCTCTGCTATGGCCCAGGAGGGCAGTGGAGGATGGCCCAAGTGCTTGGGCCTTGCACCCACATGGGAGACCAGGAGCTTTGTTCTGCTTTTGTACTTTCATATAGTTATTTAAAAAATTATTAGACAGAAACAAAGAAGCACAGCATTCATCTGTGGGCTGGCTTTCCACATGCTCACAATGGCAGGGCTAGTCTAGGGCTAGAACCAAAAGCCAGGTTTACCACCTTGGTGACAGGAAGCCAGTCACTTGAGACATCACTACTGCCTCCCAGGGTCTGTGTTAGCAGAAAATTAGAGTCAGACGCTGAAGCTGAGAATCAAACCCACGCACTTTGATATGGCACATGGATTTTTTTTTTTTTTTGACAGGCAGAGTGGACAGAGAGAGAGAGAGAGACAGAGAGAAAGGGCTTCCTTTGCCGTTGGTTCACCCTCCAATGGCCGCCGCGGCCGGCGCACCGCACTGATCCGAAGGCAGGAGCCAGGTGCTTCTCCTGGTCTCCCATGGGGTGCAGGGCCCAAGCACTTGGGCCATCCTCCACTGCACTCCCTGGCCACAACAGAGAGCTGGCCTGGAAGAGGGGCAACCGGGACAGAATCCAGCACCCCGACCGGGACTAGAACCCGGTGTGCCGGCGCCGCAGGCGGAGGATTAGCCTATTGAGCCGCAGCGCTGGCTGAAGAACATGGATATTTTAAACACTAGGCTAAATGCTCAATTTTTTTCCCTTTAAAAACAATGAGCTTCTCTGAGAAGACTATGCTTAAATTCATTATTGAATCCTCAGTGACTAGTGAAGGGAGACCAGGAGGAAGCAACAGAACCGGCTATAGCGGCCATTTGGGGGGTGAACTAATGGAAAAAAGGAAGACCTTTCTCTCTCTCTCTCACTGTCTAACTCTGTCAAAAAAAAAAAAAAAAAAAAAAAAAAAAAAGAAAAGAAAAAGAAATATCTTCTATAAAATGATTGTGACACAACAGGTTAGTAAGTCATTGCCTGTGATGCCAGCATTCCATATGAGTACTGGTTCATGTCCCAACTGCACTTCTGATCCAGCTCCTTGTTAATATACCTGTGAAAGCAGCAGATGATGGCCCAAGGACCTGGGCCCCTGAACCCATGCAGGAGACCTGGATGAAGCATCCGGCTTCACCCTGGGCCAACCCTGGCTATTGCAGCTATTTGGGGAGGTAACCATCAGGTGGAAGATGTCTTTGCCTCTCCTTTAATTCTGCCTTTCAAATAAATAAACAAATCTTTTAAAAAATAGAATAACACATTAAATTCTGACAATAATAAAATATGGGCTACCATAGAAGATATATTTTCTGTCAATTGTGATCTACTTGAATACATGCAAACACACAAGGAGTCTTCAAAAAAATTCATGGGAAATGTGTATCATGATAAAAACAATGCATGAATTTAAAAAATAGTTATGTACAACAATTAACTTCTTTTAATTCCATTTTCCATGAATTTTTGAAGTCCCCTCATAGTTGAACAATAAAATGAAATAAAATTAAATCTTGACAATTCATTAATAAGGCATTTTGAAAATAAACAAAATTCTACATGATCTCACAATGAAGTGTTAGAGATTTGATTTTTTTGAATTACTGTACAGCTTTTTCACAAAAAGAAATATGCATTTCCTCTTCCTTAGAGGCTAAAGCAGATTTATTGAAGCTTAGCTCTCCCACTCTGTTAAGTCTCAAATAGACCGAGACACATTCTGACTGCCATCTCAGCCCACAGACGTTTTCATAAGTTACTTCAGTGTTGCCTGCAGAAACACATTCAGCACCCCAGATCCAAAGTGACAGAGGTCATCTCATGGAGTTTCTTAACTATGTTTCATTTTTGCTTCAACAAGTTGCTTCTTAAGATTCAGCTTAGACAAGGAAAATAAAACTTTGGCGACCTGATAAGAAAAGTTAAAATACTTAAAAGCAGTGTTTTATAGCAGAAGCACTCAGACTAGTCCAAAACACATATATAAGTACACAAAGCACTGGAATTCTCATCCCCTCTGAAAAACAAAATTCTAAAAATTTACATCATTGATATAATATTTTGTGAGCTGATTAAATGGGGATAATGACTTTTTTTTTATTATTATTATTTGACAGGTAGAGTTATAGACAGTGAGAGACAGTGAGAAAGGCCTTCCTTCCGTTGGTCCACTCCCCAAATGGCTGCCAAGGCCGGCGCTGCGCCGATCTAAAGCCAGGAGCCAGGTGCCTCCTCCTGGTCTCCCATGCGGGTACAGGGGTCCAAGCACTTGGGCCATCCTCCACTGCCCTTCCAGGCCACAGCAGAGAGCTGGACTGGAAGAGGAGCAACAAAGACTAGAACTGGCGCCCAAATGGGATACCAGCGCCGCAGGCAGAGGATTAACCATGTGAGCCACAGTGCCGGCCCCATGACTTTGTGACTTTAAGATGTTTTTTTGTTTTGTTTTGAGTTGCCTGGCTATCATTAAGTGAAAAATAGGGCTAAGAAGAAGTTACCATGCCTGGGAAACTAAATTGAATGGCATGTTTTCCATTTTATTATTTATGAGACAATTGTTTAAAAACACCATTATTTCTTCCTCAAGAATGAGGGCTTTGAAGATTACAGTGACGTTTCCAAGATAGCAGTATCTCTTGAGCTCTGACTTTGTCGTATTTCCATTTTTATTATAAATCTAGATGTACCATTTTCTAGTAGCTATTGATCTCCTTACAAGTCTTAACAAAACAAGCAATAAATGACCATGCCCAACTGTCATATTCTACCTATAGAACAGCTGCTCTGGGTACTCAGTGAGAAAGGCAATTTGTAATGGGTAGAAATTCACTTAATCTGCTTTCAAACAGAGTTCTCTTCTGCACTGTGTCTCCCTTGTAGACACTGGACTTGTTCTCTCCACTAAACAAGGGAGTTTCCATGCTGCTCAAGGTAAATGAAAAAAGAAAGTGATCTAATTACCTTTTTTTTTTACTTTTATTTAATAAATATAAATTTCCAAAGTACAGATTTTGCATTACAGTGGTTCCCTCCCCCCCATAACTTCCCTCCCACAGGCTCCCTCTCCCATCCCATTAATATTAAGATTCATTTTCAATTATCTTTATATACAGAAGATCAATTTAGTATATACTAAGTAAAAATTTCAACAGTATGCACTCACACACAAACACAAAGTGTAAAGTACTGTTTGAGTACTAGTTATAGCATTAATTCACATTGAACAACACATTAAGGATAGAGATCCTGCATGGGGAGTAAGTGCACAGTGACTCCTGTTGTTGATTTAACAATTTGACACTCTTGTTTATGGCATCAGTAATCACCTGAGGCTCTTGTCATGAGTTGCTAAGGCTATGGAAGCCTTTTGAGTTTGCGGACATCGATCTTATTTAGACAAGGTCATAGTCAAAATGGAAGTTCTCTCCTCCCTTCAGAGAAAGGTACCTCCTTCTTTGATGGCCTGTTTTTTCCTCTGGGATCTCACTCACAGAGATCTTTCATTTAGGTCTTTTTTATTTATTTTTATTTATTTATTTATTTATTTGTTTTTTGCCAGAGTGTCTTGGCTTTCCATGCCTAAAATACTCTCATGGGCTTTTTAGCCAGATCTGAATGCCTTAAGGGCTGCAAAATAAACAGTCAGTAAAGTGAAGAGGCAAACAACAAAATGGGAAAAAAATATTTGCAAACTATGCAACAGATAAAGGATTAATAACCAGAATCTACAAAGAGATCAAGAAACCCCCCAACCACAGAACAAACAACCCACTTAAGAGATGGACCAAGGACCTATGTAGACATTTTTCAAAAGAGGAAATCCAAATAGCAAACAGACACATGGAAAAATGTTCAGGATCACTAGCAATCAGGGAAATGCAAATCAAAATCATGATGAGGTTTCACCTCACCCCAGTTAGAATGGCTCACATACAGAAATTTACCAACAATAGATGCTGGCGATGATGTGGGGGAAAAAGGGACACTAACCCACTGTTGGTGGGAATGCAAACTGGTAAAGCCACTATGGAAATGGGAATATATATGTGAGAGTGGGAATGAGAGAGGGAGGAGATGTACAGTTTGGCACATGCTCAATCGGACTTGCCCCAAATGGTAGAGTTAGAAACATACCAGAGGATTCCAGTTCAATCCCAACAAGGTGGCATGTACCAATGCCATCTCACTAGTCAAAGTGATCAGTTTCAGTTCACAATTGATCATGATAGGATTAAGTGTCAAAGGGATCACATAAACAAGACTAGTGTCTGCTAATACTGATAGAATTAAAAGGAGAGAATGATCCAACATGGGAAGTGGGATACACAGCAGACTCATGAAATGGCAGATGACCTAAATAGCACTCTGGCCTCAGAATCAGCCCTTAAGGCATTCGGATCTGGCTAAAATGCCTGTGATCTAATTACTTTTCAACAGACACTTGATGAATTCTTCAGTTTTCAGCCATGTTTTTCCTCCCCATTTCCGCAGCTACCTTGTATTACCAATCCTCAAACTTGAAGTAAGTTCAAGTAGTGCACCGTCTGGTACTTCACTGGTCTGCTTTAGGGTGCAGCTTTCTGGGGCCATCTTTTCAGATTTGCAGCTTTTGGTGTTGCTTCTCCTTCTTGATACTTTTGTTTTCCTTTTGACTTCTGACATTTAACAAATTCTGTTGCTTTCAGTTTTGTGACAATCTAGCACACCATGGAAGGACAGTCCTATATTTGGTCTGCCATTTTTAAGAGGGAAGCCTCAGTAAATTAATTTTAAAAGTAAGAATTATTATTGGTAAATGTGAAACCTCTATCTTGTCTACCTTAATACTTAGGACATTTTCTGTTTTTTAAAATTATTTTTTTTTACTTTTCTTTACCTTTTATTTAAGGTATACAAACGTCATATATTTCATAAATAGAAATTTAGGAACACAGTGATTCTTCCTGAGTTCGTCCAGTGGTGCCGGGTGTCTGTGGGCCCCTCAGACACAGGTAGATGGTCCTTCACAAGCAAGCTGTCATCTGTGACTGGAAAGCCTGTCTCCAGACTGACCAGAGACCCACTGGCATCTCCCCTCTAACAGCTTCTTGTGCTGCACGTGTGACCTTGTGACTTTAAATCACACCTTCAAGGTGGATGCAATCTTTCACCCAGAGCTGGCAGAAGAGGCTGAGCCCCAGGGGAGAATTAGACTGGCTCCAGGAGATCCAGGCTTACTTGTGCTACTTTGTGGCTTTAAAACACACCTGTAGGTTGGTTGTAATCTTTCACCCAGAGTTGGCAGAGGAGGGGGCTGAACCCCTAAGTGGGAGAAAGACCATCTCTAGGAGACCCTTGCTATCTCCATGAGCCGCAAGCCAATCAACATACGTAAGTGACAAACTCATACCCAATGGACACCCCTAATAAATGATCCAATGGAGTAATGCCTTAAAAACCCAGGACACTTCCTTAAAGCCAGTGTCCAGCTCGGCCATTCCACATGGTCTCCTCTGGGACCAGATGCTTTTTCTGTCACTTGCCAATCAAACAAAGTTTCTTTTCTGTCAAATAAGAACTTCTGTCTCTTTACAAATTGTTTCCCAGCCTTTTATTTCTATACAAAGCTGAGGAAAAGAACCCACAAAACTCACTCCTGCCTCCACTCTCTGCTACCGTTAACACTTTCCACTCTATCTGCACTTCCCTCCCACTGCACTCCCTCCCTCTTCTTCATCCCTCTCCTATTCCCACTCTTATTTTTTACTAAGATATATTTTTCAATTAACTTTATATCCATAACATTCACCCTATACTAAATAAAGAGTTCAACAAATAATATGAAGAAAAAAAAAAAAAGATTCCTCAACAGTTGAGATAAGGCCTGCTCAAATTCATTGTGTCTCAAAGTGTCAATTTCACTGCAGATCACAGAGAACACACAGTATTTGTCCTTTTGGGACTGGCTTATTTCACTAAGTATAATGTTTTCCAGTTGCATCCATTTTGTTGCAAATGCCAGGATTTCATTTTTTTTTATAGCTGTGTAGTATTTCATGGTATACATATCCCATAATTTCTTTATCCAGTCTTCGAAGGACTGATAGGAACTAGAAATCAATTTCTATGCATCACTTTCATTTTTAGGTTCACATTGTGAGAATCAATTTGAGTTGATTCTAAATTCAATTGTAATTTCTTTAACTTGCTGCATGCATGATTACATTCTTTATTACTCTCACTGTCCAAACAGAGCACTACTACACAAAGCATAGGGCAAACAAAATCAGTTATAGTGTGCTGTAGATATTGTTTACTAAAAATTCCAAATAAAATTTAAACAAAAATTTTAATTTTTACATTAAATTTCCAAATTCTAACATATGTAGTCTTGCCCATGTGTAGCCTCACTCTTGAGAATTTTACAGTTCTTAATTTTATATGGGCTTATGTGATATTTATCCAAATTTCTGGCAATGTTGAGTCAACCAGTGATAATACATACTCTTATCAGTACTTATTAAGTAACTAGTGTTATTTTTAATGCATTGTGTATAAATGAACAACCATTTATGTTATTGTAGACACAAAATATGGTTCCCCAACAAGGAATCACAGGAGTTGCAATTTTCATTTTCAGATCGTATCTGAAAACTGATATCAATATCAGTAACATATTGCAATTCAAAATATATTTATTATATAACTAAAAGTTAATTTTGGAGACTAGCTGTTTCCTACATTCTTCTCAGAATCTACACTTTAGATTATCTAACCACAAAAATTGGATAATTAGAATTATTCCTGAAAAATCACTGAGGCAGATAGCAGCATATGCTTTTGAACTTCACAGAAACCTGAAATATTGAGCCGGCGCCGTGGCTCAATAGGCTAATCCTCCACCTTGCGGCGCCGGCACACCGGGTTCTAGTCCCGGTTGGGGCGCCGGATTCTGTCCCGGTTGCCCCTCTTCCAGGCCAGCTCTCTGCTATGGCCAGGGAGTGCAGTGGAGGATGGCCCAGGTGCTTGGGCCCTGCACCCCATGGGAGACCAGGAAAAGCACCTGGCTCCTGGCTCCTGCCAGGATCAGCGCGGTGCGCCGGCTGCAGCGGCGGCCATCGGAGGGTGAACCAGCGGCAAAGGAAGACCTTTCTCTCTCTGTCTCTCTCTCACTGTCCACTCTGCCTGTCAAAAAAAAAAAAAAAAAAAAAAAGAAACCTGAAATATTTTTTGAGAGCAAATTATGGCTGAAACACACTTATAGGGCCATACACAGAGAAACTGAAAGTTACTCAGTTGCTTGTTTCTTTTCATAAGATTTTATCAGTTCAGAGAGTATATGAAGTTTTATCAAATAAACCAGAACATTAAAACATTTTGTTTGGTTACACCAGAATTCAATTCTTATTAATGCTCTATTAAACACTTCAATTAGTTTATGTTTACTTCTAGATTTATAAATTAATCTCCCTTACATATCTAAATATATATTTCCTAATGAGCATTAATACTGAAGGAGATATATATGAGAAAATGCTTTGAACTAATTATGGACATAATTTCATGGGAATAACATACAAATGCTCATCATGGATCACCATTTCAAAAGTGCCAATGCTGGGACAATAAAGTTCTGTTTGGTAAAAATAATAATTTTTATGAAATAGGTTGAATTCTATGCAATGTACACTTTAACACGATTTTGAAAACATTAAGCCACAGGAATAAAAGAATAAAAGACTGCATAATTCTAATACCTACTTATTAAGTGGTCATTTATTTTCCAATGTTCTCATTAAAGTTCCTGACATGGAATTAGAAGGAAAAAATTCCTAAGCACTTAGACCTACATATTAATTAATTCAATGTCTGCCCAAGTTCGAGCTCTAATCATCTTTCACCTGGATTATACACAGCTCTCCAGCTTGTCTCCACATGTCCAGGCTTGTCATCATCAAATTCATCCCCCAATCAGAAAGCCTACGCTGCTTAAACCCTTTGATCATTTCTCATACTCAATAAAATAACACCTTAAGTTCCTCAGCATACTATGCAGGCCCTCTATGGTCTGCTCCTTCCCTTACCGTCCAGACGAAAGACACAACAGAGAGGCAGACTCCAGCAATGCTGAGCTGCTCAAGATTTATAATGCCACTTCACTGAACGAACACTTGCTTACCTGAACCTCTTTCTGGAATAATCTTCTCCCTCTAACTTTTGTTATTACGCTAAAACTCAATCATCCTTTTAGGTCAATAAGACAACACCCTACTAGGAAGTTTCCAAGGATCTCCCACCCTCTTCCCACAACACATCTCCACACTTAAAGTTATCCCAGTAATGGTGGAAATCCCCAGTGCGCACCAACAAAGCTACAGGCATCTCCCAGTAACTCCCTACATAATCATGTTGTGTCGTAATTGTGTTTGTACCCAAGGAAGCTTTTACCATGAAGTCAAAGAAACTGCTTTCTCCACTATTCAACATACTTTTTCGTTTTTTTTTTTTTTTTTTTTTTTTCCACTATTCAACACTTTAAATCAGTAGGCGACTACTTCAAAATGTTTATGGAAAAAAATGAAATTAAAAGATCAGAATTTTTTTTTTTGGTGTACAAAAGTTTGAAATCCATGAAAAGTTTTCCCACAATACATACTTTCCACGAACTTTTTGAATTCCCTTATACCTAGTACAGATCATGGTAAATCTTTATGGAATGAATATCTAAATATGATGTAATTAGGTATACGCAAAGAGGATGCTCATAAATAGACACTCTGGAAACTTGGCAGAAAGTTTCCAATGATCACCTTTACATTATGGAATGCATTTTCTATACAGGTATGAGGTAGTATCTCTTCTACATATTCAGTGATGAAAATTCTTGATTATCTGTATTGCTCTGAATAGGTACTAAAGGAATCAATCCAAAATGAGGAATTTTCCCCCACATTATCTATATTGAACTATTGTTTCTTAACACATGGCTAATTAAGTCTTTGGCAGAAATCAGAACTCGCTTTTCCTTCACCTGAATTTTGGCCAGAAGGCTTAGTTTAAAATGAATCGCTTTACTCTTCATAGCAGTAAGATTTTTCAACTTGCTATTTTTCTTCCATCATGTAATGCTGTGCAGTTGATCTGGAGTATTAAAAAGCGCACATAGCCTAAGAACCCATAGGTTTTTGAATGAACAATAAATTACACTGTCATTCACTGAATTTTACATAATTTACCTTTTTTTTCTCTCTCTCCCCATCTACCTTCATCTTGGCTTTTTCTACCTTACTACATATGACTATTGTATATTCAGATGGCCATTTGATTTTCAAATGAGCCCAGTCTACAAAGCTCTGATAATATAGCATAAAATGCTTAAAGATGAATCTATCTTCAACTTTCAACTTATAAGATGCCCCAGAATTTTCCTTACCTAACAGTAATATTCCCTAATGGCATGGTGCCTGATCCTATCACCATAGTTAAGCAAAATGTAAGTTGTTGCTAAGGACTGATAATAACTTGCTAAAATGCTGCTGCTCCTGTATTTTAGCAAATAATATGCCTGTCATAATAATATACTAAATAGTGTTATTTAATGACCTGATAGAATTAACTCCTCTTCAAAGCAATTAGCTATAACTTGAATAAAACTGGTTCAAACCAGCTTTGTGGAATGGTTTTATTTTTACATGCCTGAAGGAATACTAATTTGATAAGTCACCTGGAATACTCAATTGATAAGTAATCAATAATTTCACTGTAGGAAGTGCAAAACATACTATTTTTGTTTTGGTTACAAATAAATAATAAATCTCATGTTGAAGAAAAGTATTATCCCTATTTCTACTCTCTGACATAAAAATGCTTTATTCTATTCTTTATTTCCTTCTAGATTATGAATGTAAATGTGAATTAAGACCTACCATAAGTGCAAAATTAGTGAAATAACAATTTTATGTTTTTTGAGCACATTTCTTTACTTGGTTTTGCAATGTCTTCTCCACACTTAACATTTTCTGTTATTTTTCTCTTCCTACACCACTCTCTCCTTCCCCCAATCATGTCTCTTCCTTCTTCCCCACAACCTCTAAGATGAGGTCAAGCCTTCCTTCTGTAAAAATAGTGTCACTTCTTCACTAAGAGGTGGCTAAGGAAAAGTCAACTCACTTGGCTGAATGTTACACATTAGAGATATGATGTAGTGAGGTGTGGTGTGTTGTCATTTTGATATTTCTTGAATTATTTCCCTGTCACTGAGGAAAAAGCTTCCTTCCAACTTTCAAAAGGTAAGACCTCTGCCTAGGCTTTTCCTTTCTGCTTTCTTCTGTTCTCTCCCTCCCATATCATCTCCAACTTGTTTTTCATTCACTTATTTACCCTGCTGTAAAACATGCTCAGATATCTCTATTAACGCGCAAAACTTCCCACCACACCTCCTCCCTTAAGCCATCCATTGTTTCTTCGTGATTATTGTATGAAGTTCTGTCAGCATCAGGAAAACTACAGGTTTTAGATTTCTGGTTCTGTCCTAAAGAAATTCAGAGGCTTTAGGGAAATCAAATACCCACTGTGAGCCAATTTCTGCAGCATTCAAATGAGTGAAAGTAAACACTCCCCAGGATTACAGAGAAAGTAGAAAGGGATCCTATGAGAACAAGGGTGCAAAGCCCCTGGTGCATAGTAGGCATTCAAGAAATGTCAACACAGCTCTTAAGCATTGATGGCTATTGCCCACTTTGACATTCACAATATGGTAGGTGCTCATACAAACGGAAAACAAAATTCTTTTTACAGGGTCCAATTTTAAAAACTTACAATTTAAAATATCCTTACAGAATAATCATGAAACAATCCCTACTCAGATTCGTAGACATTTATAATCCCCTAAATGACCAAGCACATGATTTTAGTTCATTTCTATTGTAACCTTTGAAGACAGCTCACATCTGTGACCAACAAGCCTATGTTGATTTGGGTGTCCTGCCCCTCATCTGCACTAATGGGTGAAACAGTCAGGAACACTATACGAATCCTCCCAGGATCCCAGAATCCTTTTAGCATGCTGTATTATAAATTAAAGGGAACTAAAAAATTAAATTTGCTGAGAAAAGAGTATATCAATTTTCAGCTAAAAAGATCAGGTCTTAATAGTAGGAATAGCCATTTTTAGTGTATTCTTTTATGTAAAAAATAAAAATGATGTGAATTTCAAATTTGTTACAAGGATTCTAAAAAGTTATAATGGTAGAGAGATAAGAATTGAGCAAAACAATAATTACTGATGTCTTAAGAGATGTATTTATTAAATATAGTTTGTATATGTGATAATGAGCTTTTTTTTTTTTATTTGACAGGTAGAGTTATAGACAGAGAGAGAGAGACAGAGAGAAAGATCTTCCTTCTGTTGGTTCACCCTCCAAATGGCCGCTATTGCCAGAGCTACACTGATCCAAAGCCAGGAGCCACATGCTTCCTCCTGGTCTCCCATGCAGGTGCAGAGGCCCAAGCACTTGGGCCATCCTCCACTGCCTCCCAGGCCACAGCAGAGAACTGGACTGGAAGAGGAGCAACCGGGACTAGAACCTGGCGCCCATATGGGATGCCGGTGCCGCAGGCAGAAGATTAACTAAGTGAGCCACAACGCCGGCCCCCTGTAATAATGAGTATTAAGTAGTACTGTAATACAACTCATTATTATTAATTCATTTTAAGAGGGTAAACACAAACCATGAGATCAAAGACCTGCCCAAAATTTTCTATACCTCCTTTTTCTTTTCCATGCCAATCAAACTACATTAGTAGAGAATATAGTTCACTTTTTCTACTTTATGGAATTTCATTGAATCTGTAAGGATTGATTTTATATTTCTATAATGTGTAATTTCATACAGAATCTTAGAGAAATACAATATTTAACTCTGAAGAGGGCAAAATGCTAATTTTACAGACCTATTTAATATTTTAAAAATAATAAAATAGCTAAATATATTAAGACATGTATTAGTACTACCTTTTGGTAAACAGAAAATATAGAAACCCAGCTACAGAGTTCTATGGAAGAAGCAAGCTTTCAAAGAAACAAATTGCAGCAAATATTGAGATAGATTATGTGCAGAAGAACTTTATTGGTTAATGAAAAATGGGAGGTAAATTTACATCTTATTTAAGTAACAAATATGTCT